CATTTGTATATCCACGAGTTACTGCCTCTTAAAATATTATTGAAGAGGACAACGCTTATTAGATTCTTCTTCAGTAAACTTTCATCCATGTCAATTTAACAGATTAATCACTTGATTTAACTTGACTTAAGCCTTTTGCTCCTCTTGGGTGCATAGGCCGCTGACGAATATCCTCCATTTCACTCTGTTTGTGGCTTTTCGCTCAAGCTCTCCCCAGTTGAGTCCACTCTCTGACATTTCTGCCTCTACACTTCTTCTCCAGCTGTTCCTGGGGCGACCTCTTTTCCTTTTCCCCTGGGGGTTCCATTTCAGGGCTTGTCGGTTGATGTTTGTGGCAGGTTTTCTGAGGGTGTGGCCAATCCAACTCCACTTTCTCTTTGTGGATGGGGTCTTGGCTTGTTCTTTTCCACAGGTCCACATTGTTGACTTTGTCTTTCCACCAGATGTTTAATATCCTTCTGAGGCAGGTGTTGATGAATGTTTGCAGCCTGTGTGTTGTGTGTTTTGTTGTTCTCCATGTTTCGGATCCATACAGCATCACTTGTTTAACGCTGGAGTTGAAGATGCGTATCTTAGTGTTTGTGGAGATGTTTTTTGAGCTCCAGATCTTTCTGAGCATGTGAAACACCACTCTAGCCTTGTTAATTCTGCTTCTAATGTTGGCCTCTGTCCCTCCAGTGGTGTCCACAACACTGCCTAGGTAGGTGAAAGCTTCTACCTCCTCTAGGGCAGTGCTGTTCAAGAAGATGGGGTTTCTGGTTTTGGAGTGGATCTTCATCACTTGAGTTTTTGTTATATTGGGAGTGAGACCAAGTTTTATTGCAGTTTCTGAAAGTCTGTCTGTGTTCTCTTGCATTTGTGTCTGTGTATGGGAAAGGAGAACTATATCATCCGCAAATTCAAGATCATCCAGCTGCTCCCACATTGTCCACTGAATTCCATTTCTCTTCCCCTCAGTTGTTTCCCTCATGACCCAGTCAATAGCAAAAAGAGGAATGGTGACAGAAGACATCCCTGTTTAACGCCTGTCTTGACTTCAAAGCTCTGGGAAAGCTGGCCTGCATGCATGACTTTACCCAAGATGACCTCATAAGATTTCTTGATAAGGTTTATGATCTTTGTGGGGATTCCATAGTGTTCCATTAATTGCCACAGTGTTGTCCGGTCTAAGCTGTCAAAAGCTTTTTCAAAATCAATGAAGTTCATGTGCAGGGATGTGTTCCATTCAATAGACTGTTCAATGATGATGCGTAGTGTTGCTATGTGGCCTGTGCATGAACGATCTTTCCTGAATCCTGCTTGCTGGTCCCGGAGCCTCTTGTCCACAGCTTCCTGGAGACGGTTAACAGATTAATCAACAACAGCAAAAACATTTACATGCAGAATGTGAGCAACAGGAATTAAAAAGTCCCAACTTTATGAAAAGCTGATTTGGAAACTTGCAATCTTTTAATGATAAATGACACTATTGAGAACGTTTTGTAAAATATATCTGAGGAGAGGATGAATCCATCACCTTTTAAAATAAACAGAAGTCCAGGAAATGTGCATATTCTGTCTGTAAATGTTGCAGGTATTGATATGCACAGTAGAGAAGAAAGCCACTATTAAATTATTAATACAAATCTGAATATAAGGGTTAGGGTAAGATGGGTGATATATTTTGTGTTTTATTCTATCCAAGTTTAATCTTACAGAACATGGACTTAAAAAGATTTCAGGTTCCACTATCCTCTCTACATTTCAAACTTGACAAAACCTCAAAAACATCTGCAATGATGAATCTAGGGTTTTAAAAAAACAACCTGCTGAGTGCATTCATTGTGGGAGTCCATACTAACAGTAAATGCCTTCATTGAGGCAGAATAATGAGAGCCAGGTTGTTATTTAAAGACTGGAGCCATGACAACAGAGGACCACTGCTGGTGAGGAAAACGATGAGAAGCAGAGGGGCAAGATGTTGCTCAACTGTACGACATTAAATGAAGAATTCAAGGGTCTGTTATGTGTCAGGTGCAATGGGGTTTGACGGACAGATGTTTCCCTTAAAGGGATAGTTCCTGCACTCCGACTTAAAGGCTTCTTAGGAGGGAATCAGTGCATCAGTTTTAACCTTAAATCTCGGCTTTAGCACACTAGTAATTTATCAGACTTTCATTGTAGCCATTTAATAATAAGAGTGTTGAAAACATGCCTGCTGTAATTAAAGATGAGCCAGTTGTAATGTCTGCAACCACTCTGCAACGTAGTAAAATGTTTTGTTTGTTCAACGTTCAAGAGCAAAGCCAACATAAAGACGTTTCTTCTTAGCGTTATTAACCCTGTGAAAAAGTGTGAAACTTTAGCTTCCTATACACTAACCTGTGCCCTCCTACACTGCCCATGTGTAGTTCCCCATTGGGAACTAATTAAAAATAGGGCTATTTACCAGTTAAACCATTGTTCAGTGAGAAGCTGTTGACCATTAAATCCTCCTCCAGTTCACTCTGGGACTTTGACAGATCGTGGGAGATCTTCCAGTGAAGCATCAAAGCTCACAGAGGGGAGTCAGGTATCGACGGGCGGCTCCTTCTTCTTTGATGTGTTTGTTTACAGGTCAACGCAGGCGAGCCACGCAGATAAATGAACTGTTAATGCAGAAGCTGCCTATTTCAAATGAGTCTCTTCTGCTTTCAAAGGTCACGATGTGGTCACCTCAGTGTCGTTCAGCTGCAGTGACACTGCGTCACCTGTAATGCTTGCTGATGCATAACACATGAGCTGCTATATTTGGTTAAAGTCACTGTCAGTTAATGTCTCTCACATCATCTTTCTTCATTGAATATTGATGAACAATCCTTCACTCATTTTTTTTTTTATCTTCAATCTGCCATACACTCTCTTTTAAACTCAAAACTGAAAGTTTTGGACACTTTACACTCTCAAACTTTGCATCTCAGAGCGTCTGATCGCTGCTCGCTCTGCATTTGAAGCCGACAGATCTTCATCTGAGACGGAGGGCGAGGAGGTGGAGGCAGCACGAAGGAGTGAGAAGGAGACAGAGGGAAACAGCGGGTGGGTTTACGGTGGAGGAGGAGGAGGCGGGGGGTTAATGCTCTTGAATGTTTAGTGTGTGGGTGTGTACAGTCGTACTTTGAAGCGTTTCCCCGCTGAGGACGGCTGTTTCTCACAGACTGCTGATTTAGATCATGTCACATGCAATGCACAAACAGAGAAATGTATTCTGCAACTTGTAGAGAAAGACATAGACTGAAAAACTTCCATTCACGTACACAGACACACACACACAAAAACATATTCGTCACACTATAAGACCAAGTCAGTTAGACTTTAAGGATATCAATCTGTCCATTATGAAGCACAGATAATTGTGAATCAATTTGAAATACTTCTGTGCAAATGAAAGTGACAACAGACGCAATGGATGGACTAAAGCAAAACAACCTCCCAAAAAGTCATGTTTTTGCATGTGGTGGCCACAGACAGTTGCTCTCTGTTTATCCTTCCTTTGTGATTCTTCTCTAGTTTTTTGTTCTGCTATTGTTCTTGTCACTACAGGTAGGATGAGATGTTACCTGCAGCCCCATCAGGCTGGTAGTCTATAGCTTCTCCATGAAACATCCATATGTGGGGTTGCAAGAAGGTTTGCTGTGTCTCCCAGCACAGGGCCGCTATCTGCTCCAGTAGGAACAGGGGGAGCACTGCAAAAGCCCTTCAAATGACCTCCAACAGACTGACCAAACTGTCAGAAACACTAGAGGGCCAAAGTCCTCTCAGTCCGCCATCAGTGTGTGAATGGGGGATTTTAACATGTAGTGTAAAAAAGTAGTTGTTCAGATGCAAAATCTATTCTAATCTGTTGTACAAGTTTTTTATTCAAAGGTGGAACAGAAGAGGCTGGACTATAAGGCAGAATATCCTCCCCCTGCTTCTCTGCAGAGACTGCGATCGTTAGATCCCTAACCCATCAGCAGAGCACAGAGGATTCACGGGGCATTGCATTGATTTATTGCAGACAAATAAAACACATGTCTACAGTATTTGTAAGAAAATTCCCCAGGTGTTACTAAGATTTCACATTCAATAAAATAGGATGGATGTGAGTTAACAATGACTTTGACCTTTGACTTCACAAATCATATTTCTTCATCCTTTAGTTCAAGTGGATGCTTGGGCCAAATTTGAACGTTTCTTGCAAAACTCTCCTAAACAATAATCTCGTTCAAAGGAATTGCAAAGGAATAATGGCTCTTGAAGATGTTATTTCATTTCATATTTGATTTATTTGCTCAATCAGTGTATGGTTTCAACACAATAATACAAAACAAAAAAAAATATTCTCATAATGCTGAAACACTGTTCATGAGCAAACAGGAGCAGGAAGAAGAAAACTTGTAATACCTGCCCCTTTCCTAATAACATAAGATACTGTTTAACAGAATAAGATGGCTAACCTGTTGTTTTGTCTTTCTTTCACGTTACATCACGTTATGATCTCACAGTGGGGTGGATGTTTGATCTTTTGGTTAAAAAGATAATGTTATCAGGTCGATTTTTTTTATCCTACAATCAATTTACCTCTGATGATTCTGATATTCATGAGAATGAAACAATGACCTTAGGTGAAGGCAAAATAAGATAAGATTGTTTGGTTTTAACACTCAACTACTTGAAAGTGGATGTGAAAAAACAGACATGCATATATAACATTTGTGCAAAAATATTGTTTCACAACACGTGTTCATATTTTTGAAGAAGAGAATGGCATCATGAGCGGCTTGTCAGTGATGTCAGCCAGCCACACCATGCAGATGCTTCATGAAGCTGTCTAAATGCAAATTGTTGCACTACAACTGACTTTAGTTAAAAAAATAAATCAATGACTCATATCTGATTTTATTCATATGAGAAGCTATGTCACACTGTCTTATCTGTCTATGTGATCAATATACAATGAAACTAATTACATTCAAGCAAACGTGATTTGATCTCTCCTCCTATAAAAAGTTGTTTTTGTATGGCTGATGGCAAATAAGTCAGACATTTCCCTTTTTGTTTAGCAGGTCCCTGGTGTTGCTTTAATAATCCTCTACACCAGATTTTTTTCATGCGCAGCTTTTATTATTTCACGACAACAGCAGTCACACTTTACAACAGTTAAATAACTGCAGGATGGAATAAGCAGCATGTTGCACAGACTAAGCAGTGAGAGAAACAACGAAGAGCTGGTTTAGCGGTACAGGTTATCCCTGCATGGAGCTGTGCATAAAACGTCTCATTGTTGTAACGCCAGGGTCTAGTTTTAGGTTTCTTTTTGTAGATTTTGATACTGTAAGTGTTATCAACATTCAAAAATGAAACTGTCCTTATGGTCCAGTCTGAGTGCAGTTTTTGAAAGGTCTAACAGCTCTGGTGCCTCCACGTCTTAATCCCTGCTTTTCCTGCGCGCGTCCTCATCCGACTTCAGCTCCATCAGCTCCACCTCGTGCTTCGCCGCAGTTTCCAACACTTTCTGCTTATTGTAGAAGACCACAAAGTTATTAATGATGGGGTGGATAGGCAAGGCGATGGCTATCACCCCGCACAGAAAGCTCACGGCTGCGTTGCACTTTCCGAGCGTGGTTTTAGGGTAGATGTCGCCGTAGCCAACCGTGGTCATGGTGATGATGGCCCACCAAAAGGACTGCGGGATGCTCCGGAAGAGGGTCTCTGGGTGGTTTTGCTCCATGGTGTAAGCCAGCGCTGAGAACACAAAGATCCCCACGCCCATGTACATGAGGAGAAGCCCCAGCTCCTTAAGGCTCCTCTTCAGCGCGTAGGTGAGAGTCTGCAGCCCGGAGGAGTGGCGCGCCAGCTTGAAAACACGCGCGATGCGCATGATGCGGAGCGCCTGCACAGCCTGCTGGACGTTACCCAGCTCCATCATGGATGTGGTGCCCAGATAAGTGAGAGATAGGACCACGTAGAAAGGAATAATAGCCATAAAGTCTATGATGTTCATGATGGAGAGCGCGAAGTACAGCTTGTTGGGAGAGGAGGCGAGACGCAGCAGGTACTCCGCTGTGAACCAGGACATGCATGCGGTCTCGATCGCCTGCAGGATAGGGTGCTCCACCTGTTTCCCCTCCGTGTCCGTCACCTGCAGCTCCGGGATGGTCCCCATGCACATCACAACCGCCGAGACCAGGACGGAGAGGAAGGAGGCTATGGCGATGATGCGCGCCGGCAGTGAAGAACCCGGCTTCTCCATCAGCCTCCACAGGAACCTCTGGCACCTCTGGGCGCGCGTAATGCACTGATCCACCTCCAGATCCTCCAGAATAACTTTCACTTTGCTCGCGATCTCATTCAGCTCCTCCTCCTTCTCACTTAAGTAACTTTTACAGCACTCATCTAAAACACTAGAATCTATTTTCCAGAACTCCATCTCCTTGATGAAACAAATGGGGCAAATCCCGCGTTTAATGTGGATTTCATCAAAGTAGTAAACGTCGATGATGCACTTAAAAGCGTCAGGGTCTCTGTCAAAGTAAAACTCCTTTCTCCCCGGATCGAAGTCATCACATAGCGACGAGATAGCTTCAGGATTCTGATTTGAACAGTTCAACAACTCGGACAGTCTGCTCTCCGGGTAGCGCTTCAAAACATCCCCGAAGAGCACAACTCGGACCCCGCCGATGTTCACAGTGATCTTCCCCTCGGAGCACAAATCAGTCCTATAGTTTGGTTTCGGAACTGTCCACATTTTTCAAAAAATGTTCGGCTTACAAAGAAAGTTTTTTATTTTATTTTAGAGTAAATCTTATAAACCAGAGTGGATGTCCATGACTCCAGCGCGTAAATGTTTCCTCTTAAGACTGTTTCCATGCACTGAATGTCACAGCTTGGGAGACCAGCTTTTCCTCACACCTTCCATCTCTCTCTCTCGCTCTCTCTCTCTCTCTCTGTCTGTCTCTCACACACACACACACACACACACACACACACACACACACACACACACACACACACACACACACACACACACGCAGAGAGAGAGAGAGAGAGAGAGAGAGTAGCAGGTCTCTCTTCACATCTAGGAAATTCAATATGCAACCGGTTTTGTTGTAAAGACATCTTAGTCAACCACATTTCACAGGAAAGAATAGGACTTTTACTAGTAACACAATACATTTTTATTTACCCCAAATCATAACAAATGTTATCTCAGAAAAGAAAAGGAGCAGGTCTTGACTCTTTTCTTATATTATTTAACTCGCCACAAGAAAGATCTTGAGCAGAACATCCAGTTTGTGTAAAGTAGCTTTGAGCAGAGCTGAGGAGTGGGCTGGAGGTTACACATCAAAACCTGTACTGATTTTATTTTATTTTTCAATTTTAGAGTCCTTCATCTTCAACCAAAGCTGTTTGAACAGAGGTTATTAACGGACATGTGTCAGAACTCGCACAGCTCCATCTGGAGTCTATTAAAGGAAGTATATGCATACAAATTAAAGTTATTTTCACATTTGCAGACTGGTTATTTTGGGAGCTTGATGTCACCACATTTGGACAAGAGAGTGGATACTTATACACTTTCATAATGGAATAGCGACTTAAATCCAGTCATACACTGGTTTACTTAAAATGGGAACGTGATTTGAAAGATGAACATCATGCCGTATTGAAGAAGAAGCTCCACAAGTCAAGGGGAAAATGTTCAGTCGAGCAGAAAAAAAAACCATGAAATAGGGGAAGTTTATGTTAAAGCTAATGTCTTCAGGGTGTCTGATAGGGTATAGCGGATAGACCACGCCCAATGTACAACAGCTGTGGTCCTCCAAGAGTCAGCCCCGTTTCAAGTCTGACCTGTGGCTCCTTTCCAGCATGTCATTCCTCACTCTGCTGCCCTGGCTTCACTTTTGAAACCAGGAGGCTACGTCCATTTCTTAAACAGAAATGTCAAAAAGGCACGCACATCCGGGAAAGTTCAAGTACTGGGTGCTTGACAAAAAAACATCCAAACACAGAAAGAGTACAGAGTCTGCACACCAGAAGCTGCTCCAATTAAATTGAATTGAACAGAATATCACATGTAACATTTCGGGCTTCTGGTGTGCGGACTCTTGTACTTTTTCTACCATTGCTTATACAGCCCATGGCTTCTATAGAAAGTTATAATCCTTGACATTCAGTGCTGGATGATGTTTTAATAGTTACTGGTGTGAGCTGCCTGTAAAGGAAATAAATATACCACCACCAACGGGAAAGGAAACTACTTTCCTTGTACTATTGTAAATACATTGAATGCTGAAAAAAATACCGACAATGAATCCCAAACAAAAAAGTGTTCTAATTTCAAGAAAGTCTTAAGTGTCAAGTTACTTAGGTGGAAACACAGCTACAAAGTCATTCTAACTAAGCATAGTATTCTAGTTCTCCTTTCACAAATAATAGCTTTACATTAAAAACATTGTGATTTTAAATAAGTTAAATGGTATAAACAGAGTCATGATATATTTTCCTAAACTGTCTTCAGATTTGCTTCTGTACTCTTGGACAGTCTTCAGGTTTCTGGAGGGAATCGTTCCACAGCATGTGCAGCACATTGCAACAGTGCAGTCCATTTGCTGCTTATATTTTGGTGAAGAGGACCAACGTTCATCCACCGTTCACAGATTATTTACAGAGCTGTCAAAGGGAAGCCCCGCAGTTATTTTCCAGCTCACGAGAAATGTTGAAAACCAAAGTGTTCAGGGATTTATCCTTCATTAGCTGAGCTTTATTAAGAGGCCAGTGCCCTTTTTGTTCCTGGCTCTGACTGCTTAGTAGGAAGTGTCCACAGCGTGAGGGACAGGATACTCATTGTTGTGTCTTTTTTGTGGGTCCTTCTTTTTTGCTGACCGCTAGCTGAGCTCCAGCAGGTTGGTGTTGACGTGGAAGCAGATGACGGAGGAGTACTCCTGCTGACAGATCCCTGGGATGTCAAGGCTCACCTGTTGGAAAGAAGGAGACAGAAATAAACACACACAGCGGCGTGAGCAACGGTGATATCAATCTCTTGCAGTAAATTTGCCCAAGGCTGTTGGAGGGTTGAGTCCAGGGATGAATTTGCTTGTGGTGAGCATAAAGGAAAGGCTCCAGGTAATCGCAGTCAGGTGTGCTTGGAAGCAAAACAGTGTTTCACTGTGTCAGCGTGTGGGACTGTGGACATGAGTGGGACTGTCTATGTATTGGACGAAATGATACATTGCCGCGTGCATCTATTGTACTCCTGACGATGGACTGGAAATAAATGGATTCAAGACCTATGTGCAGTAAGTTTTATAATAGTCACTACACATTGTTTTGTCCAGACGTCTGTGAATTGTTAATCTCAGAGCGGTTTGTTTATTTTTCATGAGGTACTCACATGTGTGCATTAATGCTAACTAATTATTACTGAAAGTGTTTTTGGAGAGCTGAGAGGGACCAAAAAACACCCAAAGATTTAAAAAGAAACAAATAAAAGTCTTAATCGAAGCTTCATAAATGGATTCAGCCTCTTACCTCTGTCTTGCCGGCTGTGGCAGTGGGGTCCAGATGCATGAACAGTGAGGAGAGTTCCTCCCTGAGTTTCTTTGAACGCTTCTTGTCGCTCTGCAGCAGGAGAGCCTGATAGTTCACCGGCAGCCCGTACCTGAGAAAGTGACATCATCGTGAGCACTGCTTTCACACGGACAGCTCAGGGAAATGGATCACACAAGTCGAGAAAATCACTGATGTTTGTAGCACTGACCTGAGGACCGACTCCACAAACACCCTCAATGCTTTCAAGTGAATCCAGGCAACAAAGACCTCACTGAAGTTCACCTTCAGCCAACGCACAAAGATCCCCTGTGGAGGAGATGTGCACATCAATATGACGCTTCATCACAAACACTCAAATCCAAAGTAGAATCACGACAAACAGATTGAGATTTTTAAAACATTACTTCAGGTATTAATTATAATTTTGGAGGTTATCACTACATGGACATATTTGTCCCTAGTGCCATCAGACTGTACAACATCAGTGGAGATGACCAGGGCTTGACATTTTTTTTTTTTGATCACCAGCCAACATGGCTAGTAGATTTTTAAAGTTACCAGCCAACCAGATTTTCTACCAGCCAAATTTGTCCAATCTGGCAACACTGACCGGTCGCATCATTTCTGCAGCCTGCCGATTCAAACAGACGCAGTGATATTTGCTTATTTCATCATCAGCCAAAATGGCTAGTTAACTCTACAATGCTACCGGCCAAAGTTAATTTTTACCCCCAATTGGCTGGTTGGCAGGTGTTAATTTAAAGCCCAGGAGATGACTGATTATTAATGTTATGAGAAGTATCCTTCAGCGGTTCTGGACTGTCGAGTTCACAAGTACGTGGCATACACACTTGAGATACACAATCAAACTTGTTTAGAGAGCTCTTATGAGGTTTGACTCACATACTGTTCCTTCTTGTGAACACTGAGCTGCTTCTTCTCCTGCTGCCTCTTCTCCTCCACATCAAAGCTGTACTCACGCACGCTGAACCTATGTGGATTAGAGGCTACACTTTGGTAATTCACACAGATAACACAGCCTTGACTTGATGGGGAACTGTCTGCCAATCAAGCCTGCTTACTTGCTGTCCTGGGCGTTGGCTTTGAATTCACACACGGCTCTTTTGAAGAGTGTAACAGCGAATAGTCCTCCCTCTCCGTCCTCCAACAGCTTCCTGATGGTCGTACAAAAAAAAAAAATGACTGAGGTTAGAGTGAAGCATGACAACATGCAGCAACAGGTCAAGCTGACAGACAACATACAAGTCAAGCCAGTTTAGTCTCGCTGAAGTAATGCTTTGTTGCTGCTGTTATTTTTGGCCATGTTGGCTCGCTAAACAATTAATAAAACATCTGTGATTTACCTACTTTGACAAGTTTAAATATCTGCTGTGAAAGGTCTACGACTCTAGCAAGCGCTACATAAAAAGGTGGGCTATGAGTTAAGGTGTTTTTAAACTGAAACAATCTCCTTTTGTTTTAATTACTGATGGTATTGAAAAGTTCACCAAAAGCTGCCACAAGTTAAACAGGAAGAGATCTGTCTCAGTTGCACAAAGTTGCTTGTGCAATTCAGAAAGTGTGCAGAAGTTTGCTTGCAAGAAATTCTGGGACGCTGTCGGCCTGGCGTTTAGGTAGCGCATCATGAACGGAGGTTGTAGTCCTCCAAGTGGGCGGACTTATGGGTTCAAGTCTGAGGTCTGGCTCCATTCCAGCATGCCACTCGAAAATGTCCTACTCTACCCACTGTCCTATCAAAATAAAGGAATACACCCCCACAAAAAATAAAAGAACAGAAAACAAGGCAATATTGAGCCTTCATCAACGTTGAAGGCCTTGTGCTGAAACTCATCCGTTGTTGATCTGTACGCGGGCTGCTCTACCTAAATAAAACTTTGAAGGACATTTAGCGTGCTGACTTTTCTGTCTCTCTCAATAACTGTGTGTAAAATTGAAAAATTGAATTTCCCCTCGCAGGGTCAATAAAGTATCTACTTCTTCTTCCTCTTCTTCTTCAATATAGATGTCAGTGTGTTTCACAACCTGCTAAAAACTCCTCACAGGTGCTCTAAAGTATGTTATACATCTGACAATAATAATAAAACCCTCTTTTCAATTCAAGCTCTACACATTTGAGCTTGACCTCACCTTTAAATTCTGCTTTAGCGTTCAGTCAACAAAGCACTCTCTCAATGGATTTTCTTCTTAGTATTTAAAGTTTGAGCATGATGTCATGAAGTGTTAAAATACTACAATCATTAGTTGATTACATGTTTTCTGTGCTGCCGTTCCGAGCTGCATGGACTCTTACTTTCTGCTGGTAATGAAACACCTGCTGTTACCGAGCCTGACCTTTTGGATGCTGAGAACAGGCACTCTGAGCTTTGCAGGTGCACTTTGTACCTGGATCAGGTGGTGGGTCTTGTCTTACAGCGCAGAGTGCGTAAAGCCAGCTTACCTGCTGGAGCGAGGAACCACAAACTGTGACAAAGACTCGTAAGTCCTCTCCCACTGCAGGTAGCTCCCTCTGAGACAAAAGAAAAACATGAAGAGAAAAATGTGTAGAGGTGAGAATCATCACAAACACTTATACAGCATAATGAAGTCAGGTCAGGTGTTGGTGTGTTTGTGTCACCGACCTGCTGACCAGTACTAGAAGAGTTGTGAGGTACTCTGACACCACCAGGTCTTCACGTCTCACTATGTCATTCAGGCTGCAGGTTTGTAAACTCCCACTGTAGAGAAAGACACCCCAGTTCAATATTCATTCATATGTTGTTCATATAACATAATAATGTCAACTTAGCGTGTATCTGAGATCACGTACTGCGTTTTGTGGTCGAAGCTTTGCAAGCTGGTTTTCACACTGTTGTACGCAAGAACTCGGGATCTTAATTCCGCCTCCATCAGTGAAACTTCCTGAAACACATGAAGGGTTAACAGCATGATGACACAAATTCTGGGTGTTGTGGTCATGTAATGATAAAAGTGTCTTGTGTTGTTAAAGGTCTTAAAATTAGTGGGAGTAAGCAGGTGTCCTTGGGGATGGTGGAGAGATGGTACATGGGGACCTCTCACATACCAGAGAAGAGATAACTTCTCCGTTGCTAAGCAGCATGACGTAATGTCTGTTAAGTGTTATCTGTATTGTGCTTGAATGCTGAGACTTATCTCTATTCAGGGAGCTCCTCTCCCTTAACTTTGTGTTGTGTGAAATCCTGTGCACTGCTTGAATAAAGAGATAGACTTCAAAATCCTCTTTGGGAAACTCAACATTTTGAATGACCTCAAAACATTTATGAACTCAGAATCTATACCCCTTGCATGCCGACACCTATATTGAGTTATGACACATCGGTGATAAATGAACATTTAAAGACGAGTTTTTAGCTGGTTATAAAACAGTCTGAATTTAATAATGTTACGCTTTGTGAGCTACAGAAGCAAATCAGACAAAATACATTTAGATTAAGGGAAAGGAAACCAACAGGTGTTCCAGTGATGGAAGCGGGCAAACAAACTTGTCAGATAGAACTGATTCTACTCGACCTAAAAAGCCTTAACATTTTTCTATTAAGCTCCACGAGCAGACACGAGGTCAAACTAGGATAAATATTGGATGGAGAGAGTTTAGAACACAGAAAGGTTTCAAGACAGATGCAGAGCTGGCTCAACACTGAAGCTTCAGTGTCTGCACATCGACTCTAAGGAGGAGGGGGTTGGGGATTTACTTGTTACTACACAACACCATTAGAGCAGGCGATGTCAAACAAGAGGGGGAGACAAAACTAATGTTTCAGCAGCATTGTCATGACTACATGTACAGTTGGTCCATTTTTAAAATTGCTATACCTGGGACATAAAAGATTATCATTTTATAGTTTACCGTTAGACCTGAAGCGTAAAGACGTAGTCAACAACTTAAAGCTTCAAATGTATTCAAATGTGGAGCAGGTTTAAACTGAGGCTTCATCCTAAAAAGGAGTTCAGCTGGACCGGGAAATCTTCTCTTGTTCGATCTGTCTGGATCTACTGAAGGATCCGGTGACTGTTCCCTGTGGACACAGCTACTGCATGAACTGTATTAAAAGCCACTGGGATAAAGAGGAGGAGAAGAAAATCTACAGCTGCCCTCAATGTAGGCAGACCCTCACACCGAGGCCTGTCCTCATGAAAAACACCATGTTAGCAGTTTTAGTGGAGGAGCTGAAGAAGACTGGACTCCAAGCTGCTCCTGCTGATCACTGCTATGCTGGACCTGAAGATGTGGCCTGTGATGTCTGCACCGGGAGAAGACTGAAAGCTCAAAAGTCCTGTCTGGTGTGCCTGGCTTCTTACTGTGAGAAACACCTCCAGCCTCATTTTGAAGCAGCTCCACTGAGGAAACACAAGCTGGTGGAGCCCTCCAAGAAGCTCCAGGAGAAAGTCTGCTCTCGTCATGATGAGGTGATGAAGATGTTCTGTCGTACTGATCAGCAGTCTATCTGTTATCTCTGCTCTGTGGATGAACACAAAGGTCATGACACAGTCTCAGCTGCAGTAGAGAGGACAGAGAAGCAGAGAGAGCTGGAGGTGAGTGGACAAAACATCCAGCAGAGAATCCAGGACAGAGAGAAAGATGTGAAGCTGCTTCAACAGGAGTCAGAGGCTATCAATGGCTCCGCTGATAAAGCAGTGGAGGACAGTGAGGAGATCTTCACCGAGCTGATCGGACTCATGGAGAAAAGACGCTCTGATGTGAAGCAGCAGGTCAGATCCCAGCAGCAAACTGAAGTGAGTCGAGTCAGGGAGCTTCAGGAGAAGCTGGAGCAGGAGATCACTGAGCTGAAGAGGAGAGACGCTGAACTGGAGAAGCTCTCAAACACAGAGGACCACAACTAGTTTCTACACAACTACCCTTCTCTGTCAGGACCCGGTGAATCTACGGACGCATCCAGAATCAATATCCGTCCTCTGAGGTACTTTGAGGACGTGACAGCGGCTGTGTCAGAAGTCAGAGATAAACTACAGGACGTCCTGAGAGAGAATTGGACAAACATCTCACAGAGAGTTACTGAAGTGGATGTTTTACTGCCACAACCAGAGCCCAAGACCAGAGCTGAGTTCTTACACTATTCCTGTGACATCACACTGGATCCAAACACAGCAAATGCACATATGTTTTTATCTAAAGGGAACAGAAAAGTAAGAGAAATCGGTCAAGACCAGTCTTACTCTAGTCACCCAGACAGATTCACTGTATGTTGTCAGGTCCTGAGTAGAGAGAGTCTGACTGGACGCTGTTACTGGGAGGTGGAGTGGAGAGATGGAGTTTATGTAGCAGTCGCATACAAGAATATCAGCAGAGGGGGAGGTCTGCATGTGGATTTGGATACAATGACAAATCTTGGGCGTTAGATTGTTACGACAACAGGTATAAATTTTGGTACAACAACGTCAGCACTCCTGTCTCAGGTCCTCAGTCCTCCAGAGTAGGAGTGTACCTGGATCAGGTACCCTGTCCTTCTACAGCATCTCTAAAACCATGACTCTCCTCCACAGAGTCCAGACCACATTCACTCAGCCTCTACACGCAGGACTCTGGACTTATCCTGGTTCCACTGCTGAGTTATGTAAACTGAAATAGACAGAAGTCATTTAAAGGTACATGTAAGGTATGTAATGTTTGAGCTCCTATGAGTAACTCTTTCCCGTGTTTGTTTAGCCACGGAGGCTTTGATGCTCATGGTGACTTGTTCACCTTTTCTATGCATGAAAATATTAACTTTTCTTTGCTTTAAAGTAATGTTTAAAATGTGCACTGCATTTTGTTGTTTTTAATCTAATTCATGGGTCTTAAGAAAGAAAGCACCAGGCCATTTCTTTAAAAGTAGATATCATGTTTCAACAGCTTTGTACATTCTTTTTGGCAGAATTAATTTTAAATATTAAATTGATTGAAAATCTTACAATGTAGTTTGTAGTTTATGTTGTCCATAATTTGTGTAACATGCATAAACATCTAAATAGTTTGATAATTATTAACTAAAAAATGTTCAATAAATGTATGAACCACTCCTTTATACCATGTCCTTCATAACTGATTTGTACTGGATGTAATAGTTCATTTAAATATGGTGAATTCATCATTTATAAAGTGTAAATATAGAATCAGTAAAGAAATTATAGATTTACCTATTTATCAATAATTCAACATTTATAACTGTGTTTATGAGTTATGTTTTAATGCTTTATAGATGATGATTTAAGAATCAACTAATGATTTGTCACAAGGCAAGGCTTTTCCTAAATCCTCCCTGTATAAATATTGGTACCTTGTTGATGATGTCTGCCAGGCTGGACAGAGGCAGAGTTGTGGGATACTTGGCTTTGTCCCACTGAAACTTTGTCACATAGCTCATCAGATCCACTGAGGAACAAAAAACAGACAGAGAGTCAGATCTGTTCTAAAAGACATAAAAAACTGCACAGATGGAAAAAAAACACACCACTACTCTATGATATAGAAGTGTCATTTAGAAAAAAGATCAGGACAAAAACTAGTGCTACACAAGAATCAAAATACTGAAATGTGACATTTATTTTGAGTGCAATCATATTGGTAATTTTCAACAACCAAGAAAGATGATGCTATGACAAAAACATATATTCCGAAAAAATCATTTGAAGGCAAGGACATATCTGCAGCACTCTCATCCTTCATTATAATGATTGATTGTCCCAAACTTCATATTCATCAAAGTATTGCACTTTATTGCATTCAGAAATTGCACATTGCCTCGGGTAATTTTGTATAAATCTTGAGATTCATGGTGCAGCTCCATTGCAAAAACATGCATGTAAAAAAAACCCACACAACACTCCAGCTCAAAGAGCACACTGCCAGTAGATAAACTACCCCTCAGAGACTTGAGGTACGCTTTCAGGGGCGACAGGACGGCTCTCTGCGTCACGCCGTGGTCTGATGGGGAAAGTCATGAGGGAAGCTGGTTAGCCTGGTCTGTGTTGATCAGCTGTGGATTTGTATGAGGAGGCTAATACAAAGTGTTAAGGGTTAGGTGTTGTGAAAATGTATGGAGGAGTGGATGTATGGAAAGCCATGTGAGCATTTATTTGATGTCCTTGATATCGAGTGTCAGTTACCTGCACAAGGACAGCCTGTGACACACTAGTTCACTATTAACTACTAGGCAGAGAAAGATATGACATGTTAACTAGTAAGAGCCAATCATAAAACTAGTTGGGGACCTTTAACTCTACTATTAAACTAGTGAGGCTAAATAATGTTTACTAGTTGACTAGAAAGAGCTTAAATGTCCTCTTGTAACACTAGTTATGTTCCTTTTGTCCTAACTAATTAACAAGTGAGTTAAAAATTTGTACTAGTTAACTGGTAAGAGCAAAACATTTTTCGCTTGTTAACTACTACGAGCCAAAATGTCAGCTAGTGTCACTAGTTGCACTGGTGAAGCTGTTTTAGATCTAAGAAGTAAATTATTGAAATGATTACAGCATTTGCTAGTTGGAGTGGTGAAGGCCAAGATGCTCACTAGTCAAACTATTTGCACAGAATGATAGTGAGGAGATGGGGAGGAAGTGTTAATTGAGGCTTTCTATTGGCTCTCAGGTTTAAAATAAAGAAAAGAAACCTTTAAATCAGGACAGAGTTTTTTTTATTTTATCGAGGACTTCATTTCATAATTTTGCATACTAGTTAACGTGTTGGCTTGACGGGTTGCAGCTACCCGTAGGTAACTAGTTGAAGTCTATTTTAAACTAGTTACGCCAATGAACATGTATTTGTGCTGATATAGTTTATTTGTTACAGTCAATGTGACACTAGAGGGGGTCTACTACTAAACTTTTGATGCTCAAAAATGTTTTCAAGTATTGGTTAAATATCCACTATCTGCACTAGTTTTGGTCATTTTGGCCTTCCTAGTGGAATAGTGAAAGTAAGATATGTTACCAACAAAACAGCACACTACTCAAAATCTTCACGCAAAAAGTTAACTAGTGAAGAGCTAAATGCATTCAACAGGTTGTAGAGCTATTTTTACTAGTACTGGAGTGTACCTATGTTGAAATGCATGTGTGCACTTGCACTGTTTACATATGGCTCCTTTGGAGGGTTGTGTAACTACTGCTCCTTCTGTAACAAGTTTACATAAAAACGTCAATATAACACAAATGTAAAAAGTCCTGTAGCCATTCAGCATTTGTGTGTGTGTGTGCGTGTGCGTGTGCGTGTGCGTGTGTGTGTGTGTGTGTGTGTGTGTGTGTGTACACATGCATATAGAATTTGCTTTAAGTAGTGCTCATACAGCCTAGGGCTTCTGTGCACTTACTGAATGAGTTTCTATACGCTGTAATTAACACCCTCATTATGTATGGGTGTGTGTGTTTGTGTGTGTGTTTGTGACTCACCTCCATTGGCTAAGGCGTTTTCCAGCACTTTGTCATCAGACTGCTCCATCACCTCCCTCATACACTGATAGGTTTTTTTAATCACACTGACCAGGGAACAGGAAAAACATCATAGTTTAAATGGTATTCATTAAGTCACAACTTCTCAAAGTTCATTTCCTGGAAATGTCTTTTATTCAAATTCGACACTGAGGCCTACAATGAACTGTTAATGTGGAATGAGGGTTTTATCGATCCAGGATTAGGCCTCTAGCTGAAGAGAGATTCAGAAAACAATTCATCCAAATCTAAACAAAGAGATTGGACCAATGTATGAGGGAAAGTCTGTCAAGTTTAGCCAGATTTTGATGTTGCAGAAATACTTTAATACCCAAGCCTACACCACTCCCGCTCAAGTAAACAATGAATTTAAAATCAGACGGGAAAACTAACCGTCAGCTACCCCTGGCCATCAATTAGTCATGAAACAGACTGACCACAAGCTCAAAGTTATGTGACTTATTTAAGGACAAAAAATTGTGTAAATATTAATTAGGCACTAAGAAAAAAAAGCTTTTATGTGGATTAACAGAGTGTGAGTACATTTTCAGGCTGGTTCATTTTTCTCAGCCTTTTTTTTTTTTTTACCTCTCAGTCAGTGTGTCAAGCTTGGAAAGATCATCTGACACGCTGAGCAGACTGTCCAGTATTCCCACCTGAGGTCACAGCACAGACAGCACAGTTAGTGTTACTGTGTCATCGATTCGACATCCCAGAGAGCTCAAATCACACAAGCAACACTACAGTGTGTCTTGGTTTTTTTTAAAAGGGGCAAAACTCACTTTCCATTCCCCATTACAAGGGTTTAAATGTTTGAACCCCTCACGAATGGAAAACTGCAGTTAAAATGTGAGCAGGTGAGCAGATCACCTTGAGTGAAATGGGTCAGATGGAAATTTTGCCTCAAACTGCAGAGAGCAACCTGAGCCTGTGCAGCTTCACCAGAGAAGGACACCAAACACCATCAGCCTCTTCGGCTTCTCTATACTGTACAAACCCAGATCTAACATACACATGCAATTCTTCTTCTTCTTCTTCTATTTGATGATGAAACTGTTCCATGTCTGGTCCTTGTGTGAATATCTATTTTGTTTATACTCTACTTTAGATCCCTCAAGCTCCTCGTATACTGTAGGTGATGCAAAATCTTACCTTGAGCTCTGGAATGGAGAACCTGCAGCAGGAGGCGAGGTTCTTTTTGGCTATAGTGCGCTTGAGTTTTTCTACACTGATTAAACTGGCCTTGTCCAAAGGGACAGAAATTAACCACAAGTCTGTCATGACTCCCAGTCCTTCACATGGAGACATCCAGTCAAAATCCCCACAACAAGAATGAGCTTTGGCACCACAAACACTGTTAATCAAATCATACAAATACAGTTAGATTAACTCCATCATATAGGCCAAGGTTATAGTATACAGACTTTCATGTAAAGCTATGTTTTTTAAATAATATATTAAGGCTTAGATTAAATCTTCTATTTAGTTTTCACAAAGTCAGAGTGTCCTGTAATCATTTTTACACTTTCCTTTGGGCCTGCCAACAAAATAAATAATACAAGAAAATAAATAGGCCTAATTAAAAGATTTCAACATTACAAAGTCATCATGATTCTTACCTTCACGTTATCCTCATGGTTCCCGTGTCAGTCTCTGTGAGTGTAGGGAGAGTCTGAGCAGCAGCTCCACCTGAGACTGACGGCTCTTTGTCCTCTGGGATCACAGGCAGCTCTGACATCACTCCAGGTGATTTGAGCAAGTAAAACCAGTTGGGTTACAAGGATATGACACAGTAACTATCCAGGAAACTATGACACATTCATGTTGGATATTGTACATAATATTACAAATGCAGTGTGTCTTTTTCGGGTTTGAAAATATGCATAATAAAGTTTGAAGAAAATATAAAGGTAGCCTACATTAATTACCCTGATGGATTTATTGTCATTTCAGTAATAATAATAATACTGTAACAAAATAATGAAACATCTTTTTCATTTACATTTAGTCATAAATGAATTAAAACAAGGGGAATTTTGCCTAAAAACTAAGCTGGTAGCCTCCTCAAAACAGTATGTAATATGTTGTGTAGAAAACTTAGCCTAATAGAACTACGCCTGACCCTGCTGAAAAAACACAGCATAGATCAGCATTATTTTCATGCTGGTCTTTGCTGGTTTATGCTGGTCTTTGCTGGTTTATGCTCGTCTGATGCTGGTTTCATGTTGGACATGCTGGTTTGATGCTCGTTTGAAGCTAATTAGCCAAGTTTATGTTGTTTTTATCTGTATTTCCTGCATTTTGGGCAGTTTTGTCCATGAAAACTAAATAAATCTCACTGTGAAACATTTGTCACAAACAAAATGTGTCTTAAATGTTAAAAAGGAGAAAAGCTTAGCTAATGTAAGCCTAAAGTTTAAGCGCATACTGTCAATTAGTTAGTTAGTTAGTTAGTCAGCTGATTTAGCTAATTTGGCAGAAGCTACCTCAGTTCGTCATTGTACAGTAAAACCTCGAACTTTTATTGAACGAGGGTACATGATAAGGAGATTATTTTTCAGTTATGTTGTTGATTATATTTTATTTGCCTTAAACTGTAAAACCAAGGACCATTTTGGAGAGAGGGGAACGTTTTCTTGCGGTGTTGTTTCTACTCTGACACATTAGGGAAAACTCACCTTCGCTTCCTGTTTTTGCTCCGGAGCAACAACGTGGGTTCAGCTCAGCTCAGCTCACCGGTGTGTGTGTGTAGAAACAGTGTTATGTGTGAGCAGAGTCCTCATCACTTTCTACGATGCAGATATCCAGTGTGAATGATGTGAAGATTTATAATTTAAGCCATGGAAAGTCTCTTCCGGAGGTGAGAAGAAGAGTTTTCTTCTGACGCTCAGTTACATTTTTGTAAGCTTTACAGTGAATGCTTAAACCTAGCTAGCTAGCTAAGACAACTCACCGTGATATTCCTCTAATTCTTTCATTCAGTAACGCAGCACTTTGTTATCCTTCTCATTTAAAACACCAGAATAGAGGGAGTCATCTGTCTTAAGTTTCATGATAAACGAGTATTAGTTATTAGTTACTAGTATTCTACACTCATCCACTTTAACTTATGTCAATACTGTCCATTTACAACTCTGTTTTTGTAAATTTACATTTAATGCTTAGTTAAATCCTGGTTGTATATATTCCCATTCTTAGTTTTGATATTTTTAGTGCTTATTTACATTGTATTTAATAATATATTATGTTTAGATTTGCTAATATTGTGTTTTTTGCTCATATTGTGTGTTTGGACAACCTGCTGCTGTAATGCCACAATTTCCCAGTTTGGGATCAATGAAGTAATTCTATTCTATTCTATTAGCATAGGCGAATGAACCATATAAAGTTTTGAAGTGAGTAAGACGAGTCAAAGGTATCCGTTGTGAAAGTATTGCTGTTGCAAAGCCCTGCTTACTTAGTTACTTACTGGTTATCTTCATGCAAAATCCTAATCACGTCACCCTTTGTAATCCAGTGGCTGTCAGATCGAAAGAAAAGACAGCTACAGAAGAAAGATGTCGGTGAGTTGGCTGCTTCAATTTCAGCATGACAGATCTGTTACTCGTTTTTGATTTATTGTTTTCATTCCAACTTTAAAATGTGTTTTTATTATTATTATCTTTTTTACTCCAGACATCCAGCGCAGGATCGAGCTCATCCAGGACTTTGAGATGCCCACAGTGTGCACATCTATCAAAGTGTCAAGGGATGGTCAGTTCATCCTGGCAGCAGGTAAAAACAAGCTCTGTGGAAAGTGTTTCTCAGAATATTTCTTAAAATGACAGAGATACAAGTCGCAGTCTAAACAGTACCTTCCTTTTTTTTTTTATATAATATTTTATTTTGTATTCATTGAAGGCACGTACAAACCCAGGATTCGCTGTTATGACACCTACCAGCTGTCCCTGAAGTTTGAACGATGTCTGGATTCAGAGAGTAAGTCAGCAGAAACACCATCTTCTCATATGTCATCCATGTCATGTACATTTAAATTGAATTTTCTTTCTTTCTCTCAAAGTTGTGGCTTTTGACATCCTCTCTGATGACTACTCGAAGGTAAGACAGGATTCACCTTCACAGCTGAGCAGAGTGTAGTCCTTATTAGCATTTATTAACAATGTGTAAAGTGTTTCGAGATAACACCTTCACTATACAAATAGAGATTGATTGATGGATGATGTTCTCAGCCGTCACTGTATAATCTGCCAAATTAGTAACTGATATATTTCCCCTCCTTTTTTAAAACCATTTAAAAACATCTTACATTGTTTGTCTTTAGTGTGTAGTTTGTTCAGCAGAGGAGGAAGTTGTTTTATGCATATTCTGATGAGACAAGTACAATTCTGTTTTTCATATATGTCACTCCCTGAAGCTTTTTGTATCTTTCAACTCAGTAACTGTTTTGTTCTGTGCAGTTGGTGTTTCTGCACAGTGACCGATACGTAGAGTTCCACTCGCAGCACGGACACTACTACAAAACGCGGATCCCAAAGTTCGGACGGGACTTCTCTTATCACTACCCCTCCTGTGACCTCTTTTTTGTGGGGACAAGGTGAGAGCAAGAGTGAAACCTGAGACGTTAAAACACTGTTTTTAGTTTTGTCTTTATATCAGAAAAGACCTGGTTGGACGACTCTTTTCCTGTTTTTTGGTTTTAGTTCTGAGGTGTTCAGACTGAATCTGGAACAAGGACGTTTCCTAAACTCCCTTCAGACTGATGCTGTGTAAGTACCACGACGTGTTTGTCACATGGTCCAATGATAGTGAGTGCTCTACTCGACATTGAACCAGGTGGGAGATGCATTCTGTCATGTCTTTGTTTTTTCCTCTCAGCTGATGTTTGTGATCTTATCTTTGCGTCTTGATTTCTCACTCAGGGAGAACAATGTGTGCGACATCAACCCGGTCCATCATTTGTTCGCCACAGGAACCTCTGAGGTCAGTGTCTCCGCAGGCTGAGTGAAATGAACAATCAGAGAGAAACATTGACTGTGTCTGTGTACAAGGCTGTCACATGCTGTTTATATTTTAATACTTTACTAACCTTAAAATCCCGTTTGAATGAAAACATGGTGGAGTCACAGGTCAGTGCTGGAGAATGTATGAGTATATATCTGTTGGTCAGTGTCATGTTTTTAAGCAGTACAAATATTTGTTTTATTACGTAGGTTTATGGGGCTGCACTTGGAGTTGAAGATGTGCAAGTTGATGTATCAGAATTGACATCAAGATGTGAAATATGTTAGTTTTAACACCTGTAACTTTTTGAATACAATCTTGAATACACTTGAATCTGTCTAAAATGCAACTCCAACAGAAGGTCTTGTATAGCCCGACACAATCAGGCCTCACAGTATGTTATCAGGCTTTAGGTCCCCTACACAGTTTCTAAAGCTCTCTCATTGTGTGAAGTTTCTCCTGTCAGACGGGAGTAGAGGGGGTCTCAGGAGGAAGACATAATGTAAAAAAAGACCAAAAATCCATAAATCCAACATTGCAGACAAAGTGTCGGAGTCCGACATTAAAATTACAGTTTCATCGTGTGATTTAAATTTTGATCAACCCCTCCATCGTAGTGAATTTTCTTTAATATTGTCTACTGCTGTCACATATCGTCTCATCCCGATGTCGCAGGGATTTACACTAAGGGCTGGCAGGATAAGAAATTGGGGTAAGGTCGAGGTCAAAATTGGGTCGTTTGCGTTTCTCACCCAGAATAACTCATGTTTTATAACTCAGGGGGATTGTTTTCTGAAGTCAGTTTCTCCTTCGCTTTAGTTTGAGGTCACATGTCGAGCAAAATACTCATTTTTTCTAACAATACTATGTGTCCCGAGTCCGTCTACAAACCCCCCAGTGATGAGAAAAGTCCATCCTTTCCGGCTTTTGCCTGCTCTACTTTTTAGAAAATGTGTGCTCAAACAGGTCGTTTGGAGATTTTCTCTTTGTGACATCACAGGGCTGAAATAGAGGGGTTTATAGGCATGATCAAATACAGGATCAGAGTGGATTTAGAACAAGAAACTTCACAGACATGTATTGGGGAGCCTTTAAGACGTCTTTAAGCTTGTTGAAACCCATAAGAATGATGTTGTCATTTCCTGTTATTTAAAAAGTCAAACTTTTAAAAGTCAACAAATCTTCCCTTCTCCTTGATTTCTTTTTTTCATGTGACTACCAGGGGCGGGTCGAATGCTGGGACCCTCGTGTCCGCACCCGAGTGGGCACGCTGGACTGCGCCCTGAGCAGCCTCACTGAGGGAACAGAGTAGGTACCAAGCTGTAACACTCAGAATAAAACCCTTACAGATGACGTCAGGCTGAATGTGCACATTTAGACACAAGGCTATGTCTTTACTACATTAAAGAATCTGCCCATCAGTATTTGACACTAAGCTAAGCTTCTGTTATTTATTTAGTAAATTTCCCTGTTGTGGGATAAATAAAGGATTATCTTATCTTATCTTTAATGTGTCCCCGTTAGTCTTTTACCCTATAACTAAGAATTTGTGTTTTTGTTGTCAGAGTTCAAGGTCTGCCCTCAATAAGTGCTCTGAAGTTTAACGGCTCCCTCACCATGGCCGTCGGCACCAGCACAGGACAGGTGAGCAGAAAACATTGACTTGGTGTTGAGGTTTGTAAAAAAAGCAAGTAAAGGGGAAATGCTCCCTATGTTCAAGAAGGCTATCTGCTGCTCCTTAAAATCACTTTTGGTTGGCATGGTAACAAGGTTACCAAGTTCGAAGGGCTAACAGGTGGTTTACTTCTTACAAGAACACATGGCTATGGTAACTCATGCTGCACACCGTACCAGCTTACGAGCAGGTTAATGTTAAAGATGAGATATTGAACTTAGGACAACGACCAATTGATCGTCGTGGAAACAGAGTTCTGTGCACGGCTGCTGAGAAACCAGCAAAGTTTTTAATTTAATGGATTTTTATTCTTCCTCTTTCTGATAACATTGAAACGTTCGGTCTCCTAATACGTAGTCCAGTTCTTTTTAAAGGGAGTAGTCGACCTTTTCCCTGCCGGACAGCTTGTCGGACTCTTTCCGTCAAATGCTCTATTCTGATAGGGCAATGCTTCCACAAACGCCATGTTTCCTCCAACATCTCCTCATAGATCCCCGCTTGCATTAAAGTCCAGTTGATGCTGCACTGACTCTTCGGCCTGAAGAGAAATAAAGGAAGCAAATTTCTGATTTACTCACGAGAATCCATGATCTTTCTATAGACGCCGTTTTTGTTTTGCTCATCTGCCTTTGCAATTAATAATGACCTTGTTGGCGTGCACATAACCCGCTAACCTTTTGTGTCTTTGGTTACTGGTTACTAAATTTGGCGGTACATTCCTACTTCTTGAAATGAATGTAAATGTTTCCTAACTGATGCATTCAACCCTCTGCTTCGTCTTAAAGGTGCTGGTCTATGACCTGCGCTCCAACCGGCCGCTGCTAGTGAAAGATCATTTCTACAGCCTGCCAATCAAAACCCTCAACTTCCACGACCAGCTGGACCTGGTCGTGTCCACCGACTCCAAGATCATAAAAATCTGGAACAAAGACACTGTAAGTTGTATGCTTTGTGTTAAGGCATGCTTTTATTTAGATAAAGTAGCAGTTCACACATCTTTATGCTAATATCATCTGATCATGGTTAAAGGAAATGTGTAGTTCATTGTGTGAATGTAAAGAAATGTATCTTGAAGGTGCATCCCTGTACTTCTAACTGGGCCATGTTTTTTTTTACATCTTGACAGGTTGAAATGAAAAAATAGATATAGAAAGTTTTTAAAAAAGACTCCAGTAGATTTCTTCAGCTGCAGTGGCTGCAAAGAAAATTCACCCATTCAAGTTCGGCCACTAAAACCGTGTGTATTCGCCCCTAATGGTTCATCCATGCGTCTGAGAACAACATGGAACTAAACAAAAAAAACACAGAGAGACTACATATCCAAAAATAAAATCCCTTTAATAACCAGAACAATCTTTTTCATCGTTCTTCTCAAAGCCTTTCCACTCTGTTTTCAAATCGGTATACAGTATGTACCTCCCACAGCATGTGAGCTGCTGGTCTACTCCAGCCTTCATCCATTAGACGGGTCAGAGAGAAAAACAAGACACTTTCAGTGGATGTAGCGTACCATACCAGGCCAATTATTTATATGAATTTACATTACATCCATTACAACATATTTCATGGCAGCCACTTGAAGTGATCAGGAATGAAAACTTGATGTGCCTATTTGTTATTTTGACTCAAACATACATTAAAAAAAATACATTAGAAAATAGGGCCATAGTTTAGAAAGTATCTTCATTTCCCTTTAAGTCAGAAAAACAATGGATTGCAGTATTTGGCGTTCATCTCTCCTGTGTTCTCTCTCTCATCACCACAGGGCAAAGTGTTCTCCTCCATACAGCCTCCGACCAACATCAATGATGTTTGCATCTACCCCAACTCAGGTGAGAGCAACTTCTCCTGCAACACAACGAGGCGTTAAACACTTTATAGATTTCAGCAGGATTTGAAAAACAGACTCAAACTACATTTTAAATAACTAAAATACTAATTATACAACGATTATCTACAGCAGTGTTTCTCAACTTGTGGGTCGGGACCCAAAAGTGAATCGCGGAGCCATTTTCAGTGGGTCGCGGTGTTGTTCTATTAAGCACTTTTAAAACATGTTTTTTTTGTCTTTGTTCTGTCACTTTTTGTACCCTCTGAGGTCCAAGCGGCACCTTTTTTTGATTGAACAAAACTGATTGATTTAAAAAGTATCAGAAATTCGGGTGGTGATTTTTCATTAGGAAGTTTGGTGTGGGGGGTCCTGAGGCTAGACCAGTAGAGAACTACTGATCTACAGAATACAAATGACTAATGAATACAATGTGGAAACTTGAAGTGTATTTAGAACAAAAGGTCCCAGTGAGGAGAAGAGGAATGATATTTGGAAGTTTAGTAAACGTGTCTCAGCAGCTAAATCTGACTTTTACATGAGTGAAATCAGAGTTTAATGTTGCAAAAGATGTCAAAACTTGGTCGTTAAAATACAAAAATAACTTGAACATTTCCTGACACGTTGTCCAGCATTCATATACAGCTAAAGAACGAGAGTCTGGAGTGCTCAGAAGTTCAACCAAAGTATAGCCATGGTGCTCTTAGGTGGTGAACACAAAACTTTTAATAATTATTCAATTGGATATGTCATCATAGACATTTTAAAAACAAGTCAACTCATCCAAAAGCTGGGTAACAACCATTGCATAGTGGCTCCCTGTTTGTGCCAATTTGATAAAGGCTTTTCACTTTCTAAAGAAGTGCCTTGGTGTTTTCATCTTCTTGAATTCTTACACAGCTGTTTCACCTCAAGGTGGCGCCACCTGACAGCAGAGTTCAGCCACTGTTTGCCTTTGCACTTTGTCCCGTGTGTTTCTGGAGAAATGGTTTCAAGTATTTGTTGTTTAAAGAATCTAATCTCTTCTCTTCATATACTTGTTGTTTTGTCTTCATATTTTTTAGCTAACTGAACTCGCTGTTTGATCAGAAATGGGGAAAAATGATTTAAATTGTTACTTCTTTTTTTTTTTTTAAACACTTTACTTTAAACACAGAGACATATTAATGGGACTGAATTCAGCTTTTGTTCCACCACAGATGAGCTCTATTAATATCTGTTTCCTCACATTGTGTTGTCTGCATCCTGTGTGTCTGACAGGTATGCTCTTCACTGCCAATGAAGATCCAAAGATGAGCACATTCTACATCCCGGTGAGTGCACAGACTTATTATTTTTCTCCACAAACAGGATGCAGCAGCAGACGCCTCACTGCACTTCCTGTTTAACAGGTGCTGGGCTAACGGCACAAACAAGAAAAGAGCCTGCACCTCAAATCTTCCTGAGTCGCTTATTCACACGTGTCCCTCACAACGAGAAGTTTTCCTTCTTGGACGGGAGAGGAAGGGGGGGGGGGGGGTGTATCAGGAGGCAAGACATGATGTGTGATAAAAGACGCTGCAGTAATCCAAGATGGCAGACAAAGCAGCTGATGCTACTTGTAATGTTTTATTCATAGTGTCAACCAACGGGTTTAAAAGATCATACTAGTGAGCAGAAGAGAGAATGAAACTGCTTCAATATGTGAGTGAAGGTCACACTGGTCGTTCGGTATAAAAGTCATCACCCCTGCTGACTTGCTCAGTTCCTGACTTCATGCATGAATTTTAGTTGAGGCTCCAGTTGAAGCCAGGTTCAAAAGCCTGCCTGCTCTGCGTTCACACATGAAGCCCACCCACAACATTTCGGACATTTTCGGGCTTGTGTGAAAAATTCAAATATTTGAGAAGGAGAGCATCACACGGGCGGTTAAAAAAACACATTAAGTGGGCGACAGTAACGTAGTGGTTAGTGCGCGCACCCCATGTATGGAGGCTATTAGTCCAAGCGGGCGACCCGGGTTGGAATCAGACCCATGGCTCCTTTCCCGCATGTCATTTCTCTCTCTCTCTCTCTCTCTCTCTCTCTCTCTTTCTCTCTCTCTCCAAAAGTATATCCTGTCTCTACAAAATGCCCAAAAACAAATCTTAAAAAAAAAAAAAAAGCACACATTAAGAAAAAGTGAACAACGCTGCAAACGTACTCGATGCCACAAAAAGCTTAACAAGTCACAACGCTTCCACTAAATGTTCTTTGTCAGGTGACAGTTTCATGTCACCATCAGACTGGAAACAAAAAAAAGTGTGAAACAAGCTCATCCTTCCGTCTACTAGTGCACATGGGGTCCTATTCATTCCTGTAGAAGCTGCTTGGTGAAGCCCAAAATGTTTGACTTCATTACCCCCAATCTGCCAGACAGTGTTTGCATCACCGGGCAAGCGGCTAACCCTACTCCCATCCCCCGTCGAAAACATGCAAAGGACAATGACACTCGATCCATCTGTTTTGAAAATGTAACATCATTAGAACCTCAACGTGTTCAACCGTCTGCCATCGTCCCAAACTTGTCCTTTGATGTCAGGTTTTTCCTGTCTGGAGCTTAGAATCAGCCGGAGTGATTCAGATGACTTATGTTCATCATGTGGACATGTGTTCATTAATCTGCTTCTCACAAGGCTGCTGCAGAATGAATAAAGCTTATTAAAGCTTTTTTTCTCTGTCCTGTGACTCAGATATGATCGAGCAGCACGAGTCATTCTGGAGAAGGTCTCTGAGTGTGTACAGTAAACTACACTTTGCTATGTGTAAATTCCACACATGAACTGTGACTCTCCTGTGATGCACAAGGAAGAATAGTTAAGGGAATAAATTAGACAGGGATGTAGAACCAAAGTTATCGTTATGCTCCTAATTAGACAATTTTCTAATACGAGACAGACACCATCTGCTGCATCCTCACATTGTCCAAGTATGTAGCAGTAGGCGCCTCGAATGATGTTAAATTTACTAAATATTTCAAGTTTTACTTGAAACCTAATGTAGAAAGATGACAAAGCTTTCTTATTGTCATGGGGGATTTGTACATTTCCTGTTTCATGTCGAACCTGCCTGTTGGCCTTCAAAGCAGATTATAGTTGGAGGAATCAGGATGTTTATTCCACCACAGGAGAGACATGACGCTCTCTGCAATAAGTTTGGGAAATACTCCTATTAAAAAGGAAATAATCTTCAGAAAAGGTAAATGGGTAATAATGGATTTGAAGTGTCTAAAAATGTAAAATTTGGTTGCCATTTTTTGTTTTGGATTTTGAAAATTTCAAAAAATCAGAGAATCGAAAAAGACCAGGTACTTTGAGTTTTCTGTTGTATCTTTCATCACAAGAAGTGCACTGATTTACACAAGTCTCAGACCAACTGAGCCACAGCCGTCCTTTCTTTTCACCATATGAGTTCTTTCACACTTAATCAAGACTTGTGTGAAAATGTCCAGAAATGTGTGAATGCAGAAAGGCAGAATCTTTCACTCTTGACTTTTACCTGGAATTTTTCCTGCCAGCTTCCTAGTAAATGTTCCGCATGAAGTTGGGAGAGGAGATTTCAGAGGCAGTCTGTCTGAAATGATCTGAAGGGCACGTTTGGTCTTTTTTTTTAAAAAGTACCTCCTTTCCTGAGGGAGACTATACATGTTTTTGGTTTTTTTAACACTTCAGGTAGCGGACTTCTAGGAAAAACTTTGTGTTCAGACTTGTTTTAGCGACCTTGCCGTTTCTACTCCTTCCACGTGGGCACTTACAGAAGCTGCTCCACAGTCACACACCTCTGATTATCTCTGCATGGACGGCTCCAAGCTTTATCATTTATCCTTCACTTCCGGGTGGGACTCGATGTGATGTCATTATCTACAAGGAATGAACAGAGTCCAGTGAAACAATGTTAGCTAGTGAGACACCACTGAGTGAGAGGATCTTTGATCTGCGCTGCTATTCTACGACAAGGCAAAGACAAACAAGGTTTGAACTTAGAGAAACAGCACGAGATAAAAGCAAACAAGAAACAACACAAGATACTAGTGTGGTCACATTACCAAAATGTTAAACTTAGGTATATGAAACGTTATCAATACCTGTGACAATACCACAGCAACAAGACATCCTGGGCTCCTAATAGAGGGTCATTTCTAGTGTTTAAATTCATGAAATTGAAAGCAAAAAAAGTGCATGACTGTGCCAATTTTAACCCTGAAACTAGAGTTGCTTATCTCTGAAACTGTTATATAACGCCTCATGCTAGATGTTTTGACAGACACACTAACACTAGGCAGTCTTTACCGTGTCTAAGCATGCTTCACCCCTAAAGTCCAGTTCGTTTTAACAAGCATGGTACACTTCCTTGGCCCTGGCACGCTTGGAAGAGGTGTCCTTAGGTACGGTACAGTTCATGCACCAGCACAAGCATGCTGGTACAAAACGTGGACAGCCTTCTTTATCGACACATCCCGGAGTGTTCTGGCTGTTTCTGGCTAACATGACTCAAAATAAGCCACACAGTCAGTAAAGTCGCTGTCATATTTTTTTCCTCGAGTGCGCCTGTTTTGTAGACAAAGTGCTCTTCATAATTACTTAGAGCTGTTCATGTGTTGTATTGCAAAGTTATGTTCAAGAGGTAAACCATGCTCAGGCCCGGTTAGTCCTGGAGCAGTGTGAGTGCAGGCCAGCGATGAAATGGCGAGGGGGTCGTGCTTACAGTACAGGTCAACTTTTCCTAGTGTGCGCGTGCGCCCTTAAACATTCTCGATCAGCTAACTTTCTTGATTAATGGATTCGTCTTTAAGTTGTATGAATGTTTGAAAACGGTTGTCTGTGTAAGTTCTCAGTCATCCAGGTCGAAGTAAATCAAAGCTTCATCCAAAGACAACTGGACTTAGTCGACGATCTGGAAGACGTTTCACCTCTCTTCCAAAAGGCTTCTGCAGTTAGCTCCGTCCTCCAGTTAGTTCAGAAGTAAAGGAGAGGTGAAACGTCTTCCAGATCATCGACTGAGTCCAGTTACCTTTGGATCAAGCTTTGAGTTAGAAGAACAGTGTGGCTGTGCTGGAATGATTTCCAATAGACAAGGTGATCGGCCTCTTATTGGTTGGCATGTATGCTGAAAAAATTTCAATGTTTGATGTAATTAGTGCATATTAAAATAATTAACTTTCTGTTTAAAACTTCCATTTTCATTCGTCGGCCCTCCAAACAAGAAGTTTAAAAGAACATAAGAGAACGTGCTGGTTTGGAGGGTGAAAATATTACACTTTCAATTTACACTTGAAGTCAAAGGTGCACTCTGAGATTTCTTCAAAGACAAGCCGCTTTCCATGTTTGGTTACACATCAACAGAATCCTGCGGTCCATTAGGAAAATCAAACAGCCTTCATCTGGAATGGAAACACGACCCTAAAAAGAAAGTCTATATTTGTTTCAACAAACACACGTCAGGTTTCGCACTTACTCAACAGTCTAAATCTGAACTGTGTGTGTGTGTGTGTGTGTGTGTGTGTGTGTGTGTGTGTGTGTGTGTGTGTGTGTGTGTGTGTGTGTGTGTGTGTGTGTGTGTGTGTGTGTGTAAACATTCAGGCTCTGGGCCCTGCACCTCGATGGTGCTCCTTCCTCGACAACCTGACGGAGGAGCTGGAGGAGAGCCCAGAGAGCACCGTGTACGACGACTACAAGTTTGTCACCCGCAAGGACCTGGAAAATCTGGGTAAGACGCTGTTTTACCCACCGCACGTTAAAACAGAACAAACCCTCAAAGTTACATCACAGAGGTTTCTGTCCAAAAGGAGCATGTCATTGTTGCTCTTTTGTTTCGAAGGCAGAAAAGCTGAAAGTGATAACTGTTAAAGAAAAAGGGAAATCTAAGACCGGCCTAGAAAGTTACACCCAAAACTATGAATCAGTGTGAGTCACATTGCCGCCTTGGTGGGTTTGCACGCTGGCTAGACTGCTTAACTAGAGGTCTGGGGAATGATTGAGAGGCTTTAGGTAAGGAGAGAGTGTGAGGGGGGGCTGGGAGTGCGGAGAGAGGACACTGGAAGGGTTGAATGAACACTGGAATGCAGGCTCAGCAGTTAAGAGATCAAATGACAAGAAGCAGGAAGGCGGTTGGCTGCTGTGGAATAAAAGGAGTGGAGGGGGGGTGTCGGTGGGCGTACAGGGTAACAAGCGGAAGAGCAGCCGCTTCACATTCTTTGAGGCATTGACGTAGCAACATTTTTTTCAGCACAAGCTGTGCATGCTGCTGCATGCTGCTGCCGCCATTCACACCCTTCACCGAGTTATCTCCGGGTGGAGTTTATCTTCTTTAAACACATATTTAGTGTTTTCCCCCCATTTGTTACTGACCAAACCCTAAGTACAGTTTCTCTAAAGACAAATGTATTCTCTGATGAATCCTGAAAGCTACATGTACGTCCACACTCTGTGTCCTTTTTCACATACGCACTCCTGAACATTTCAGGAGGACTGCCCCTAGAAACCCTCCTGATCTGGTTGTTCACTCGACATGTAACTGACAGCGGGAGACTATCCCTGACACACAGGTGGGGGGCGGGGGTGGTCTCCAGGGGCAAGATAAACTCCACCCTGAGAAGTCAAAAAAATTATGTGGAAGCAGGCGGCGAAACGATAAAGATAATAACTGCCTTTATATCAATGCGACATTATTAAATATAATCCCTGGTGCCAAATATCAATACATAACTATATATATATATTTTTTTACTTTGTGCTTCGTATGGATTTTCCTGACAATGTGACTTCTTCAGTTATGTAACTGAGGGCCAACGAAATGTGACCCTCAGTTACATAACTGAGGGTAATGTGAGCAGAAGGTCATTGGGCAAAGAATAAGTTGACAGCAGTCTCTCTCTCTCTCTCTCTCTCTCTCTCTCTCTCTCTCTCTCTCCCCACTCTGTCCACTGTCCCGTCGCTCTGGCTGAATTATTTTAGTCAACTTTAGACTTTTTCTTACACTCTAGTATTTAATTATCTCTTTTACTTGTCTCAGCTTCTCAGACACCCCCCAGTTAGTGGATTTTAGGGGCCTTGTATTCGTCTGTCAGCTTGTTCTTTTCATGATTTGTTGTCTGTCTGTGTTTGAATTGATTCTGTAATGACTCGATGTCACTGTAAATGAAGGTTTGCCCCTCAATGCTCTCCCCAGTATAAAATAAAGGTTGAATGAATTAAATGAATTACTCAGTAGGTATCAGAGATTTTCATTTTGTGGTGGTGATAGAGAGAAAGTCAGAAGGAAAATCCAAACAGTTGAGAGTAAGCCTCTGAGGATCTTGAATGTATAGACTTCATTTCTATCCAATGAAATCTAAAAATGTCCTCAGAGATCAGATACATTCTCTATTTTCTTACAGATGTTTTTGCCTTAAATACATGAAGAAACAATCCTGATTCTTTTGTGTGTTATATTTGAAAAATTCAAAAAATGTGCGCCGACCGTGCAAGCTGCCTGTTACAGTTGCTCTTGTTCGTTTCTTACTTTCTAGTACTTTACTGTCTTTTTAATTTATTTATTGTTTCTATTTTTTGACTGGCTCCTTCTTTAAGCTGTGCCCTCTCTATTCGTGCTTTTTGAGAGAGTTCTGGACTTTGTTTCAGTATGGAAACAACTTCATTCATCCCCACCACCGTCACACAGCAACCCCGTATTGTTTACAGCCGGGATCAGCTGTTAGCGCTGAAGCCAGCCGGCCAGCACACCGGCTATAACAATAGTTATTCCGGCAGAAATTTGGAGATACAGAACACACAGGGGATGCAGAGGAAGGAAGAAGCTGCGGAGGAAGGAACGAGACACCAGAGACTTAGGGAGAGGAGTTTTATGCCTTGTCTCCCCACTCTAATCATGGGTAACGTGAGGTCCCTGGACGAGCTAACAGCGTTAACAAGGAGTCAGAGGGAGTATCGGGAGTGCAGCTTGATGTGTTTTACTGAAACGTGGCTGCATCAGGATGTTCCCAACATCAACGTCTCCCTCAACGGATTCCAGACTGTGCGGGCCGACCGGAATGTCAACGGGAGCGGTAAGAAGAAAAGCGGGGGGGCTTGCCGTTCTCATTAACAACCGATGGTGTAATCCAGGTCATATTACGATTAAGGAACGTATTTGTGGCCCGGACATTGAACTGTTTGCCGTGGGACTCAGGCCATATTATTTGCCCAGGGAGCTCTCACATGTTGTTCTGCTGGCTGTTTACATCCCTCCCTCTGCGAACCCGGCGACGGCGTGTAACGTCATTCACGCCGTCGTAGCCAGACTCCAAACGGACCACCCGAGTGCCATCATCATTGTCTCGGGTGTTTTCAACCACGTCACCATGACCAAGACACTACCCAACTTCACCCAGTATGTCTTCTGTGTGGACTGCACTGTCCCAGCAAGGACTGGCCTTTGTTGTTCAAACAACAAGCCATGGATAACAAAGGACATCAAGGCCATCCTCAACACCAAGAAAAGGGCCTTAAGAGATGGAAATCAAGAGGAGGTGAGAACTATACAGGGGGTCCTGAAAGTGAATACTAGGGAGGCCAGGGACACCTACAGAAGGAAGACCAACATGAGGGAGGTCTGGAGTGGCATGAGGACCATCACAGGTTTCAGGTCAAGTAGCGGTAGAGGAGTTGAAGGCAGTGTGGACAGGGCCAACGAACTGAATCTATTTTTTAATAGATTTGACATGGCCCCTGTTCACCACCCCTCTGACTCACCAGTTCCCTACCTGCACCTACCTCCCTACCTGTTGCGTGCTGGGGCAGCAGGCTGAAGGTAGCAGACTCCAACAGACTAAACAGACTGATCCGTAAGGCCAGTGACGTTATTGGGGTGGAGTTGGACTGTCTGACGGTGGTGTCAGAGAGGAGGATGCTAACTAAGTTGCGTTGCATCTTGGACAATGTCTACCACCCACTCCACGATGTGCTGGTCAGACACAGGAGCACATTCAGTGCCAGACTGATCCCCCCCCCGATGCACCACAGAACGCCACAGGAGGTCATTCCTGCCTGTGGCCATCAAACTTTATAACTCTTCCCTTTGAGTGACAAACACTCTGTCTGACCCTGGACTATCTCAGCCTGGAAAAAACAAAACAAGAAAACTGTAACCTCCACCATAACTCATTATTTATTAAAACTGCAACATAATAATAATAATGAATAATATGTCCATGATAACAAAGTGCAATATTGAAGAAAACAGTACCTATTATTGAAATCTTACTTACATTCCTATTCTATTTGATTCATATTTTTATTACTATATTTCTACAGCTATATTGTATATTTTGGAGCAACTGTAACGACCAAATTTCCCTCTGGGATTAATAAAGTATTTCTGATTCTGATTGCCAGGTCTGTCTCACCTGGTGGGATCGACTCTCCTGAGAGGCTACATGCACGGCTTCTTCATGGACATCAGACTTTACCACAAGGTGAGGCGTCTCTCTCTCAATGAATACGCTGAGTTGTTGATTTCAGACCAACAGAACAAATTAAGCTCATGTCATGTGTTGTCAAAGAGGAATGTTTGATTCAGCATCGTTGCTGTTCGGTTTGTCACTAGGTCAAAACTATGGCAAATCCTTTTGCATACGAGGAGTATCGCAAGGATAAGATCCGGCAGAAGATCGAAGAGTCCAGGACCCAGAGAGTGCAGGTTAAGGTGAGGAGTCGTGGTGACGTCTTTCTCCTGTCTGCATGTTTCAAATGTGTTCAAATGGCTCCATTTTTCCATTCCAAGTAGAAATGAAGTATTATTAAGTATTATTTATCAGCAAATGCACCTCCTTTGTCTTTTTTTGTGAGTAATCATAAGTAATGTGTTCTGACTGAGACAGAAGCTGCCCAAGGTGAACAAGGATCTGGCTCTGAAGCTGATGGAGGAGGGTGACGACGAACTGGAGCTGACTGGAGCTAGGAAAAAGAAGGGCAAGGTAGGAAACTTGGTCCTGTCTTGACTTGTGCCTTTAAGGACTCTTAGTGAATCTACTCTAAGGAAAAGGATTTCATCACGGGAATGTTCCTTAAAATCTCATGTGCTGTCCTGCTTATTCATGTCTCCTGTGCTTTATACGATTGGGAAACTTCCAGATTATTAAAACCATCTGTTGAATCTTTAGTTTACTTAAAATTAAACAAAGAACCTTGTGAGTGTGATGCTGAACCATCAGCCTTCTCCTTTTTCCCATCTTAACATTTCCAAACCGCAGGCCCTCCCGACCATCCTGGGAGACGACCGCTTCAAGGTGATGTTCGAGAACCCCGACTACCAGGTGGACGAGCAGAGCGAGGACTTCCGCCTCCTCAACCCCATCGTCTCCAAGGTCGGACAGAAGAGGAAGAAGAAGCTGCGACTGCTGGCTAAACAGGCTGCTGATTCTGAACAGGTATCTACAAAGTCGGCTTAAGGACAGCAGTAGCTCAGTTTGTAGGGGACAAGTCCCGCTGTGGACCAAGTGTGGATATTAGTCTAGTATCTGGAGGAGGTGCCAGTTCACTTCCTGAGCCCTACCAAGGAGCGCTCGCTCACTCTGACATCTCTCCACATGCATGTCCATAGGATCCTGTTTGTGAATGTGTGTATGTTTCAGCCTATGTGTGTGTAGCATGTTCAACAACAGTGTGTTAAATTGAATATCCTCTCATGGGATTGATAAAGTATATCTTCTAATTCTTCTCTTAAGCTACCTGCAGACTTTGGGAAACCTTTTCAGTGTGCAGGTGTTCACAAGAGAAAGTGTGAGTGTGAAAGATATCAGACATTAGCTGCCCAGCTTTGAGCTGCTTCCACGTGAGAAGGAGAAGAAATGAGCCTCAGGAGGGGACATGAAAGCATGCAGAATTGCATAAATTAGTGGCTTTCCACATATAGTTCTTGTTTTGGAAATATTTAAATAAGTGTGACACTTGCACGCTCCATAATCCCTCCAGACACAATCATCTGGTATTTTTTATTTCTGCCGATTTCTGCAGGCGTGCCATGTTTCCACAGACTGTAATTAATGAGGCTTTTCAGGATGAAGGATGTAATAAAAGATTATTAGTTGGTAACTTTTGTTTTTGTGTTCTCTCCTCCCAGGCGGCCGAAGACGAGGAAGAGCCCGAAGGTCGGGCCAGCTCCGAGGAGGAGAGCTCGGACGATGATAAGAGCTGGGTGGAGGAGGTGCGGGAGCAGCGCAGGTTGATGCGACAGGAGGGCTGGGAGCGCCGTCGTCAGCAGAGGAAGGACGGAGACCGCGACACCGTCCTGCTGGAGGGCGATCAGAACCGAAGAGAGAAAACCTCGAACTTGGCAGAGGGCAAGAAGACAAGTCAGCCACAGTTTTATCAGATCAAAGCCGGGGAGGAGTTCAGAAGTTTTAACGACGTGGCACGCAAGCAGAAACTACAGAAGTACGTCTTTTGGATATGTATCAAACAGAAGTGTTGGAGGAATGCTGGCCTTTTGTCCGGGCAGTCCTTCAACTAAGGCGGTTAAAAAATTACAGCATGAAATTGATTCAGTGGAAATCGGCTGTGCTGTAAATCTGAGATCTAGTTTCCATGTTGCCTTCAGGAATAAAGATGTGTGTGAAATGAAAAAAAGGAAAAAACACTGGAGTTCAGAAAGAAAACAGTAACACCACTTCCTGACTGCTGAAACATGTGTGGGGTTTCTTTCAGGGCGTCTTTGGAGGACCGTCTGAAGTTAGAGGAGAACTCAGGACCAAGCAACATGGCCGACACTGCAGTGGGCAGCAAACAGCTGACCTTCACTCTGAAAAAGGTAAATAGTTTACGTTTCATCGATCTCTCTCTTTTTACTCACTTATACAAATAATATTTATGGTAGTGAGTTTTAAAAATGAGTGAAATCATGCAGGGAGCTGCTTGACATCATTGTGTTTATAGATCTGTTAAAAAGTGCTTCAAGATAAAAGCAAGAAACGTCACTTCATGGAGGTTTTACACACTTAATGAGTGTTGTAGAAATGACATCACATCCCATGCAGGCACTGTCTCACTGTTGCAAATGTAAAAGACAAAAGGCCCCTTTCATTCTGCCCATAAAGGACAAATATCTCCAAAGGAGTTCAGATAACTTCTGCTGCAGGTTTAATGTGTCTACTATAAGAAAGGTTTTGGATCAATGACCTTTCTGTGTTCGTTTAGCAAAACAGTTTTTACAACACAACTTTGATACTTTCATTCGATTTTATGACGTTGTAACTTTCAGCATAGGTTAGACACATCGTAGGGATGTGAAACATTTGAAGATATTTTAAGAAAAGACATCACAATAAGTGAAGGGCCAGTACAATGATTAGAGGAGATGGATCACAGGGGAATTCAGAAAATCCCCAACAAGAACAAAATCAAACAATAATCACACACAGTGTTTCATTCTCACTACAACATACAGGATAAAAAGACAAATACAAAAAGGATGTTAAATGGACTTGAGCTTGTTTAGTTCTTCTCTAGTCTTCAGACTACTCAAAGTGCTTTTACACTGCAGGTCACACCTACACATTCACACACTGATGGTAGACGCTGCTATGTAAAGAGACCATCAGAAGTAACTGATCCCATTCATACACATTCATACGCCACTGACAAAGCAGCGGAAGCAATTCAGGGTTATGTGTCTCGCTCAAGGACACATTGGACATGTTGCTGCAGGAGCTGGGGATCAAACCCTTGACCTTCCGCTTGAGAGACTTTACCAACTGAGCCACAGCCGCCCCTACATACATACAAAAATGTTTGAGAATAACTTATAATTCAAATTAAAAAAAAGATGCAAAATGTGCATTTGCGTTTGAGTTACAAACATTTTGCAATGTTGACTCGGCAGTAAATTCACGTTATGATATCAGTATGCGACACCCCGTGAGAGAGACATTATTTAACATGCATCATTGCGTCCCCCTCTGCAGTCGGAGCAGCAGAAGAAGCAGCAGCAGGCGGAGCGGGAGCACCACGAGGAGAGGAAGAAGCTGAGGCGCTCGGCTGGACATCTGAGCAGCAGCCGGGGAAGAGGAAGGGGCTGGGGCGGAGGCAGGGGTAGAGGAGGAGGAGGGGGAGGCAGAGGAGGGGAGGCAGAGGAGAGAGGAGGGAGAGGAGGGGGAGAGGAGGGGGGAGAGGAGGGGGAGGGAGAGGCCGGTACTGAGGAGAGCAGCCCTGAATCCTCTTTACTGAAAGTCTTCAGCTCACTTTAAAGTTTCATGGAGTCTTTCATTGACTCGTCTCTTGCAGGTGGCTTAAAAAAGCCTAACAAGGCTGCAGAGACAAACTGGAGACGCCGTCACCAGTGGCAGAGAGTGAAAGTGCCGTACAGACATGCCTGCCCCTCACTTCTGGGTGGGCTGTGTCCAGCTGCTCTCTGCAAACTCAGTGCATATGATAAAAGACTACCTGTGTCTTTACAATGAGAAATAGCCCATCAAAAGTACATTAACTGTTTAACCATTTTTTACTTGTGTAGTAAGTGAATGGAAGGAATGTGTGTAAAATAGTATTTTTTAATGCTCTTTGTTGTAACTGCATATTGTTAAACCAACGCTGGATTAACAACTAAATATTATATTTGGTACAACACTTGTGTGTGTCTGGTTTTTATTCCTGCATATCACATGCTCCATCGTCATGAAGTTCCATAGTCCAAACGAATCTTTTAGTACCTTTAAATCCGAAATAAAAAGGAGGGGAGGAGATTTTTTTTTTTCCTTTTCCTCTTCAAACGACTGCAGTTCTTGGAAAAAGAAGCACAGCCTGGGTGTCCTCCCCATCCCCCAACATGCTGATGGTGTGAACCCCCTCTGCTCCAGTGTTCAAATGGGAGGGAGGTGCGTCAAAGCCCCCTCAGCATGCCAACACCGGCCCCTAGGGCTCATTTGAACTCATTTGATGTCACCAAGAATTTTCACCATGACCCATTGGGATACAAAAGCAAGAAGGGGAAAAGACGACAATGCCCAATTTGACGGTGGGCTGAGGGTTATGTGCTGGGCTATTTCTTGGCAATGGAGCTGTAGTTTCCTGTAGTCTCTGCTGGTTGATTCTTGTAGTTTTAACACTTATTCTACCCTGGATGGCTATGACATTATACTCTTAATAATCTAATATTTCTAAATCAATGAATGGGAATTTTACTTCCCCAACCACACTGTTGAACTCTACAGAAATGAGTCAGCGTTTCAAATACTTAACCACAAAAACCCAGTGTTTAACAAAACCTTTTTACAGTTGAACTTGACCTTTTCTATCCAGGTGCCTGATGACAGATTTCCATCAGTAGAGAGTAGGTTACTGACGCCAGAGGACAAAGATTAAATCTGGTTCACTCCTTTGTGTTGGGAAACCGGTGACACTGTCCCACTGCAGAACAAACATCATTTAGCAAAGTGTCATCTGGTTAAGTTCTTTATGCAGGGTTCCCAGCAAATGGCCTCTCTTTTCTCCTTTCACAATGCTTTGGCCTCTCCATGACAACTGGCAATCAGGCCAAAGGAAGTGGGTCAACCAGAGCGGGCACTGAAGAAAAAAAGGAGAAGGCATGGATGTGGTATTTGATAGCAAATGTCAATCCAGTCTAAAAGATAATTTACATATTGTAGGTCTCGGGTCATCATCATGGGAAGATGACCACGTGTGCCATGAAATCACAATATCCCGTCTCTATTCCAGCAAGGACTATCTTTTGTCTCATTCCATCTCTCTCCTCATGCTTACTGTCTTTCTACTATCAAATTTAAATAAAGGCCGTCATTAAAAAAAAAAACAGAAAAGGAGGTGATGATAGGCATAGACTTCTGTTTTATTTTGGATCTCTGCAGTGTTTGAGCTGCCTTGTTAAGGCAATCAGAGACTCTTCAGCTGAAGGAAAATGACTCATGGCTCTTAAAAGAAGTTGTGGTTGTGCAGTTGGTAATGAAGTTGTCTCTGTTTTGTCTTACAATGAGATCATTCTGTGAGTATGAAGGCTTCAGCCACTCTGCAATATCCCTTAACCATCGTCTTCTATTGGAGTAGCTGAGAGGAGCATCTATTCATTGTTGATTTTAGCGCCCCCTTTGGACAAAAGCAATATGTCTCATGTCATAAAGGTCTTGATCTGGCTAGCTTTAACATTCATTTGTATTTTTTTTAGCAGTTGAGGTAACAATGATGTTCCATATCATAATGCTACGATTGATCCACATTTAGCATTCAATGAACAGATTTAACCAATTACACAAACCTATACTGACATGCATTAATGGAGAGATGGGGCTGCTATACAGGGAGCCCACCAGAGATGTTCGCAGCAGCGCTCAGGAATGGCACCTCTCCAACCACCAGACCAAATTCCATACTGTTGGTCCGCACATGGGCTTGAACCCGCGACCCTCCAGTTCCCAAACCCAAGTACGTACAGACTGAGCTACTTGTCTCCCCATAGATCTGTAAAAGGAATATGTTTGTATTGCATTTTATTGTATAAAGGAATTGACACTATAATAGCCTGTCAAGAAGAAAGAGGAAACATTTCTGATCAGTGTTGGGCCAAGATTGACCAAGATTGTTTTTGCACACGTCCATTGAAACTTTTTAGTTTTCTCTCTTTGCTTATCCTATCCTGTAGCCTACATGTGAGTAGTATTCACTTGGATATCCTGCAATCCCCTTAAACTGGCTCAAAATTCTGACTGAAAACTCAAATGTAGCAGATCTTCTCACTGATGGTCTGGTTTACCTTTCAAGGTCATATAAACGTATTAGTAATTAATGAAATGTAGTTTTATTATATTAAGAATACTTGCTGTAACTCTTTAGGCCTCTTCAGGTGGTTGTAGTATAGCACAGGCCCGGTGTGTATGCATTGGTTTTGACCTTTTGCTTCTACTTTCCCTTCCCCAAAATTTCACCGAGCAAATTAAATGTGATCCGTGACACCTAAAATGTGATCCCTCTCCACCGCCTGTGACTTCAAAGGAGTAAAATGTGCTGACACAGCATGCTCACCGAGCTTCAGGCCAGTCTAGGGAAGCACAAAAGATGTTCCAGTGAAAATACGATCACTTTTTTTTTTTAGCCTAAATCTCGACAATGCCGGCTGCATCACCAACTCAACCTTGAAAGAAGAAGAAATGATGAGTCAGCAGAGAGCCGGATTAAACAGGGACTCCTCTCAGCTCTCCAGGGACCGAGCTGACAAGTGGGGCAGCTGTGTGGTCAAAGGCTAATTTTATTACGGCAACCTTCTGTTATATTTAGGACTGTACTTAACAGCTTGATTTAAACAGGTTCTTTTGAATTAATGATAATACATTTGAACATGAAAAAAGAAACAAGAAAAGAAAAAGAAACTGTAGCCTCTGATTGACCTTCACAAATTGACATACAAGAGAGACTGGTGGTTGGATACTTATCACGATACAGGTAACCTCAGAATGATAGCCTGCCTCTCAGTAATTCTGGTGTAGCCGGTGGTTAGCATTGAACAACTTCCAGACACGACTTCCTTTTCTGCCCACTGCATTATTTACACTCTAATTTGCAACTTGTGTCTTCAGATTATAAGCAAAGAAACCCTTTCAGATGTCTGAAAAGAAACCACTGTCATTTCTTGGTTCAGTAGATCCCTTGGAAGAGCGCCCTGTTCCTCGGTTTATGTTGAGTCTCAGTTCAACAGTAAATAATAAGTTTCACAGAGGCTTCACCCTTGCGTCTCTCAGCAGTATGAACACCAAAAGGAAACCGATTACTGTCTGATATCTGAAACTATCGGGTGTTAAGATTGCTTAAATAACATCATTGTGCAGATTTGTACAAAATAAAAAAAGGCGAGCTTTGTCAGGTCTGTCATCAAGACGGGTGAAAAAAACAACTTGAAAAAACAAAAGATTGATTTGGTGAATGGAGGTCAGGTCAACACAACATCAAAAAGCTTTGTGATAAACTATCAATTGGAAGCCAGGATGTAATCATGGCGGATTGCGTTCCACCTGCCTTTGCACTATATACAGACGGTTATTCCTGCATACACCCAAGCCTGCTGATATGTGATTGGTCAGGACTAATCTGTCTACAAGAGCACTATGAATAGACAGAGACAGAATACATTAATGTCAAATCTGTAAATAGAGATTACGGTATAGGTGATATACAATTCTATATATACTCAGTGTACATGTAGGTATATTGTGCTACTGTAGGCAAAGCAATGCACTGATTGTTTAAATCTAATTCAGGGGAAACTGTGATTGTAGAAAGTCACAACATTGTATGTATTAAAATCATTGATAAAATCTTTTATGCTGTCAGAACAGTGACATTTATCACAATGTGTCTTAACATAAGTCTGAGCAAAGGTATTAACTTTTACTGCAACAGCAAAAAAAAATCAAAATTGTCATCAAACTAACAGTAAAGTAGCTCAACACATGATTATAAATATATCTTGAATTACTCTTAACTTAAACTCGGGGAACAGTACTCCCCTAAAAAGTTCTTTATTAAAGTGACTCTTAGTTTTTTAATCACATGAATATCTTCAAGTGATCAAAATATATTTCGGTCTCTGTCACAGGGAGCTTTAACAGTGTAGGTGTAGACAGATGTGACCCAGATGTGTCAGCAGCAGAGCTCCTCCTGAAAAACAATAAAGGACAAACAGAGTTACAAACAACAGAGCACAGAGCAGATGTGACGTCTTCAGTTTCAGGAATTAATATTGTATTATCGAGCATTTTGATAAGTAAAAGGGCCTTTCAATGTTTGTAAGGATTCTTGAAACTTGATATAATTTTGACCTTCAGATTTGAGACACACACTGATACAAGACAAAAGAGATGTCTGAACGTTAAAAACATTATGCTGCTCCCATATTTGTCTTGAGGTGGAAACTGGAATCACCAACCTTGGGTAAGCGCCTTTCAAACCATGTACTTTAGTAACAAACTTGAAACCTGGAAAAAAATTTAACAATAGAAAAGCTAGGGGAGAAGTAGAGTTTTTTAAAGGTCACATATTATACAAAACACACTTACCATGTTTTCCTAACACTCATGTGTCACTATAGCTGGTCAGAAAAGTCCATCCTCTCCGTCTTTTGCCTGCTCCTCTTTTCAGAAAATGTGTGCTCAAACAGGAAGTTTTTGAGATTTTCCCTTCATGACATCACAAAGGGCAGTAACCCCTCCCCCAGGTGGGTGACACTCCCACAGCTTGGTGTTTGCTCTGCCCTCTGAGTCTACTTTTGGTTTCAGACTGAACTCAAACCCAGTTTCATGGGGTAGCTTGTTTCCATTGTTGGAGGCGGTGAACATGTATAAAATCCAGCACTGTGCAACATATATGTTACTATCACAATGTCATTCTGCTTTTTCTGTAATCGCCTTTAAGACATCCATCTAAAACTAGATTATCTAGACATGAAGTCAAGAAGACACGACTGTGCGCCATCTGCCTTGTGAATAACCAGACTGAGCCCAGTCAGCAGAGACCGACCAAACCAAACCTTTAATTTACTCCTTTAAAGTATCGCGCTATGACCCAAATTACAAGCCGCCCATTGTCTGTGTATTTTACAAAAATACAGCTTTTGACATTTAACCTTCACTCTTTCCATGGAATGTCTTTGTCACGGTAATGTCTCATTTAAGTTTGACCTGCTACATCTCATCATTTAAGGCCAAGCTGAACTGACATTCAAAAAGACAACATCACCGTTTGTAGCTATATTCAGGGATGAAATTACAGTATACACAATGCACCTATTCTTTCCTGTGGCTGGCCCGTCCTGGTTTTAACTCTACCTAGTTTTCTGGGTGACGTCTGTGGTCAGAGCTTTAAAGTCGGTTAATCTATCTGAAGAATAATCTCTCTGTCTAATCTGAAAGGACTGATGGAGCAGAGTCAAGAGAGTAACGAGACACCACACGTGCCACCTCCAGGATTTCCGGTCCTACAAGTAGTTGTCTAGGCCAAGCTACACATGTTGATGTTATATTTGGGTCAAGCCTTGGTGGATTTTTACCTGTTAACCTCTTATGAAGTGTAAAAGCCTCTAATCTCTCACCTCTGATTTTACAGCTTCATCTTAAGTGAAAGAATGAGTGGGTTTAAAAGATTAAAAGAATCAGTCGCTTCTGTTTGCAACAAGTCCATGCAGATTAACTATGTGAAACCACAAACAGTATCTCGTATTTTTAAAGGCCGTAACTGCTGTCACATGATAATTAATAGACACCTCCCGAGCGCAGTCCATGGCTCAATAAATAAAAACAATTCAAACATGATGTGACCAAAACATGCAGTAAAGGGCACAAATGTGTGACTTCCTCATATTATATTCCTGTTATTAGATCAACTGGGACCAGGTCTAATACACACTGTCTGCGTTATACAGTAGCAAGTTGTTGTTTTTTTGCACACACAAAAATGAATATAAAAACCATGCCAAACTCATGCATGCCACTTGAAGCATGTACATTTAATACAGGTTTTCATTCAGGCTGTGTAAGAAGTGGACTTTGCCTCAGATTTGAAAAGTGCAAATGCAGAAGTGCCTTAGAACTGCATTCTTACTTATGGCCAGCAGGGGGAACTCCACTCGTCGCAAAATATAAAAAAAGATGTCATATTGTTTGAAAGCCTATGAACAAATTATGAATTTTCCCTGGAGCCATTACAGCAAACATATTCCTCATGAGTTGTTGTTTAAGTCAAAAGTCAGTCAAGTTTTCTCCAAAACAGCACAATGTTCATTTGTGAGTAATGGTCCCATTTAGAGTCAAGTCAATGATAATGCAGGATGTGAGGTTTAGGGGAAGGGCTGCCAAATATAGTCAAGTCCCTTTCACAGCAATCTGAAGAATTTCTTGTCAAGCATTTAGTTTTACCAAATTAACTGTGTCAAGTATAGCTTTTCATTTTTTTTTTTAAAGTGACCTGTTTTACCGCTTTTCAAGTTAGTAGCATCTCAGCTCAAATAACAGATAGCTGCAATTGTTCATGCTGAACGATATGGAGTCTCGTTCGAAACGAAACTGAACAAAACTGAGAACAAAAGTGTAAGACAATATTTAAATCACCTGACCAAAATATCTTTGAGGCTGTTTATATTTAGTGGAGAATCCTCCCTCCTTCATTTTTCAACACCGAATGTTATCACTTATTGGTGGAAACTGAGACCAATAACTTCAGTTTAGAGCTTATAAAGGGTTCAACCTTTTTTCAAAGCAAAGCTGCAGACCAGCCACTGACGCAGATATGAACTATTTCTATGTGAAGAAAATGGGATGACAAATTTGGATATGTGGTGTTGACAGTCTCACTTGAGCATTCTTATGCCATGCATCAGCTTTCTTTATCTTGGTACAAGTGAGTACAGTATTCTGTGTTAGTGAAAGCAGTGGTGTTTGTACACACTAAGCTGGACTGTTTCATTACAGTTGCTGATGAAAAAAAGTGGCTGTGGCATTTTGTTGTGCAAGTATGTTCTAACAAAGACGTGAGGAGAAATACAAAGCTAGATGCAGTCACCAGGACATGTACACTGTATCATGTGGGCGGCCTTTAACAATAATCAGCCTTGTCTTTTTCTGAGGCCTTGTAAATGTGGGGGTAAGGCCACAATAGTCCACAGTAGTGATAACAGAAACTCCACACAGAGAGAGAAATAGACATTACAAGAGGAGCAGAAGGAAAAAGGGGTGAAGGAGAGGGTGACAATAATGTGATGCAACAAAGGGGCATGACTGGTGTAAAGAGACACAATCTAATTTGGGTCTGCTATGGAATGCATTTGGAGTGTGTTTTAATCTTGTGATTTGATAAACATCCGTTGAAAACAACTTATCCTCAAGTGCTGGTCCACTTCCTGCCTGACAGACATTTGTCTGTTTAAGAGGTGTGCCCCGCTACTGTGCAAATAGTTCAGACCGAATGCGAGACTAAAAGGGAAACTGCAAGGCATGAAAATCCTTGCAGATTATGTCATCGTTAAAGTTTGCAACTAAACCTCATTCTCACTTTCTGAGCGTTTCAGAAAGGAGCTGTGCCTTTGACTTTTTTTTGGTAATTAAAGCGCTTGGAAGAAATGACTATATTCACCAATTCTACAGAAAAATGGATGGAAACCCCGGTGTGCAAAGAGTAGGAGCCACCTTGATTGTGGCGTCAAGACCTGGAAAAGATATTAAGTGAAGCCCACAGATATGTGGTCCCCATGAAGCCCTAAAGTTTCCTGTTAGTGAAACCAATGCCTGTGCAACATTTCCACATGTACTGTTAGGTCACACTGACCAAATTCTTCTTTTCCCTCCATTTGGTAATGTCTGCTCGCAAATCGACTGTCTATGAAAGCGACCTTTGGACTGATTAGACTTTGTGAGAGAGATTGGAACTGAAGGTTTCCAGGTGTAGGGGAGTTTGATTGTTTGGAGGTTTAAGCATTATACACAAGGTTTTTATTGACTTTACCAATCTAGGCATAGATAAAGGTTTGATAAAATGTTACACTTTCTCCAGCAATGCTTATTACCGCAGTACTATAACTCCATCAATACTGCAACTTAGCGGCTGTTGCAATACAAGCATGTGTTGACAACGTGCTATATGAGTCATCTCGCGATCTCCTTTAATCTCATCAGGAAGGTCAGGAACTGAGCAGACGGCCATTGAGCGAGGTCACTCATTCAGACAGCAGACTGTTGCCGTCTGAAAATGTGAGTGAGCACCTCTGAGATTAACACACATACAGTGCAGGTGTATCCACACCAGCTGGCCACAGGAACCTGTTCTGATAATTGTCCATATCATCAGGAGGTTAGGTAGATTAAAGCATAAAATGTGAATTTGAGGGCTGTGATTTTTTCATTTAACTGTAGATTAAATGGAAAATGAAAATGCCCAGAAAATATCTGTGTTGGTTTTTATCAAATCAGCAATCCTAAACCCCAAAAATATATAAGATTTGAATCCTCCAAACAACTCCTGTTCATCTAAATTAGCCCTGCACAATGAGATAGACTGCTTTGCGCAATAATTACGCTACATGGCAATGACAAAATGATCCGACATCTATAAAAGCTATATATTGAAGAGCTACAGATTTCCAAAGTTTAGGCTACTGTGTAAAGTACAGATAGGCTACTGTGTTAAATCGGAAAAATATTTAACGCAGTTGCCTACCTGTACTTTACACAGTACCTGTATTTGTACAGGTAGGGCAAGGCAAAGCTAGTTTATTTATATGACACATTTCAACAACAAGGACATTCAGAGTGCTTCACATGACATTAAGTATCATGACAGAGGGAAAAACATTCAAAGAAGATATTCAAAGATCACTAAAACAAACCATTAACAATCACAGAGAAGATTACATTTAAAATATGTGGAAAAAATAATTTTGAAAAGAATTAAATAAATAAATAAAAAAGTACAAGAAAGAAATTAAAATACAAAATATAGCCTATATAAATGACCTTCAATTTGAGATGTAATTATATAATCTGCTCTGCATGCCTTTTCAGTTATAGTGCTCTGAAGTCCTGACTCCAGTCCTTCCTGGTGGACACAGATTGAACTACTGGTTTTACCTATTCTGAGGTACTGTGTAAATGAATAAAACATGTACAAACCATGAATGCAGGGGCCCGTCTGATGGGTAAAACATTTGCATAATGAGATTGAATATATGGCACAGTATGTAACCAAGCAAATTGTTTTTCTTTGTGAATTGCTTTTTTCTCTTGCATTGACTTCCTATCATATTACAGTGATGATAAAAAAAAGTGATATTTTGTGCATCCCAATTCCTGCAATATTTTTTTCTCTGTTTGTTTTAAGCTTCCATTGAAGGCATAGTCCTCCTACAACAAGAACAAAAAAAAGTTCAAGTGTATGACAAAGATTTGAAATGGTCAAACCAAATTGTCTGTTTAAGTAAAGTGAGGAAACATGGACAAAGAGACTTCACAGGTCGGGTACTTTAAAAGTATCCTAACAAAGGCTTGGGCTTCACAGTCCAGTGGAGCTCAATGACTGACTGGTGGTCTCTGTCTGTCTGACTTTTCCACAATGGGGTGAAAGCCTGAAGTTCATTTAGTTTGTTTTAGAATGCCAAGGAGTCCGGTTTGAACTGGTTGAGTTACCTTTTGTAATCTTATGGTTGTCTAGCGGTCTCTGTCTGTCTTTTCCACCATGTGGATGAGGTGACAAGGCTAAACCGGTTCATACGTGGAAAGGAGGCCGGTTTCAGCTGGCTGCGTTGCCGTGGTAACAAGCGCTCTATAAATACAGTCGGAATCCCTTCACCGGCTTCCACTCTGGTTTCAGTCCCGGCAGAGAGACACTCACCTCCAGCAGCAGACTTCATCGTGAAGGGGAGCTGCTTTATTTTTTCACCCCAGCATTCGAGTCTAATGGACAAACTCTTTGTAAATGCTTTTTAAGGTAAGCAAATAAATCACCTTGGCGTTCTCTAACATTAATAGTTAATATTTTGTCGGTGTTTTACATTGGTTGGTTAGCTTACAACCAGCTAGCTAGCGGTTATTATATCACATTGTTAAGAAAACTTCGTTACGTTTATCCGTTTCGGAAAATGTTTAGATTTATTGACCTGGGTGTGTAACGTTTTCCTGAATACAGTTTGGATCAGTGTGTAGAGTAGGATCACTACTTTTACCGTTTACTTAAAATGCTAAAACGCCTCATGGCATTAAGAGCGGAACCGGCGTATTGAGAGGCGCGTCATCCGCTAGTCTCTGATTGGTTCATTCTCCTTCCATTCTTTACAAGCTGGAGGCGGAGCTTCATCGCGGTTGGATTAAACTGAGTGGGCGGGACTTAAACGCTTGGTTCTTTCAATGACTTTCTGTGGCCTCAAGTTGTCACACCATAGAAATAAAATGGAGCGTCGTTGATGTGTGCAAGCCCTGTGTGTCTTGAAGTCAATTCTAATGGTTTAATAGCATTATTCATAACTTTGTGATTTTCATGCAATATTTTAAATGCATTTAGTTTGTAGATTGCATTTTCACTGATAGTTTTGTGACATTTTACCTAACCCAGCTTTTCCTTTTGTTGGTATACAACAACATTTTTATATATATATATATATATATATATATATTAATATTACAATTAAATCCTGCTCTTGTTTACAGAATCACCACTCTAGGAAGACACACACTGCAGGCCCAGGCCTAGAGTCTTATTTGAAGGGATTTAACTTCACTGGTGAACCGCCTTGGCTCCTCTGCACCTGAGTTACAACAACAATAATTCCATCTCTTTCATATCCAAGTAAGTTTATTTGCCATTTTTTTCTTCTTTTTAGATTGTACATACAAAATGATCTGCAATAAATAAAGAAATACTCACTTGCACTACTTTTCCATGAGTGGGGAAAAAAATAGAATTTAGTAATCAAGGACACAAGACACTGTTTCCTCACAACACAATTTCAACATGCCCCCCTCCCCCCTCTCTCTTCCAGTTTACTAGTGAAGTGAAAGGACTTCTTGTGACCATGAACACAACCACTCCCACTGAGTTTGAATTCTCGTTCCTGGAGGAGGGTTTCTCTGCCAAGGATATTGTTGATCAAAAGATCAATGAGACGTCCATGACGGTAAATGTTCATTACTGTCCTTGTTTAAGGGATACACAGACTGCCCCATTTGTTGTTGATGCAACAGAAAGCAAGTTGTGTAACTGAAAGCCAACACTCCTAGTCTGATTTCTGGTGTTGAATTGTCTCAGTTGGATTCTCTCCAATTGTATTCTGCTTCTCTTAAACAAATATGTCCCTTTATTCCTCCATCTATTCCAATACAGGATGACAGAGATGCCTTCTACATCTGTGACCTAGGGGATGTGCTAAAAAAGCAGCTGCGCTGGGTGAGAGCCCTGCCTCGAGTCACTCCTTTCTATGCCGTCAAATGCAACGACAGCCGGGCTGTTGTCATGACACTGGCATCCCTGGGAACTGGCTTTGACTGTGCAAGCAAGGTGTGTATTGGAAAGTGTCCATAGCACTAGATGTTCTCAGGCTTACACAATACAAAACTCTCTTAATGATGAGCTGAAATTGCATTGGCAGCTTGTGTTTTTAAGCACTTTTTTGCTGACTTGTTGGCTTTGTCTCTTTCTAGACAGAGATTCAGCTGGTTCAGTCTCTGGGAGTGGATCCAAGCAGAATCATTTATGCCAACCCCTGCAAGCAAGTTTCCCAGATCAAGTATGCGTCCGCCCATGGCGTTCAGATGATGACCTTTGATAGCGAAGTGGAACTGATGAAAGTGGCACGCTGTCATGACAATGCCAAGTAAGACTTTTTTCTCTCCCCTTCTTTTTTTTTTTTTTAAACCATCAAGGCTTTATCAGTATCTGCTTTCTTTTTCTCTCTAAATGTTTGTCCTCTTCACTAACTGTTTGTTCTCCCTGCTCAGGCTGGTCCTTCGTATTGCTACAGATGACTCAAAGGCAGTGTGTCGACTGAGTGTGAAGTTTGGAGCTACACTCAAAGCTTGTCGAGGTCTTCTGGAGCGGGCCAAAGAACTGGGGCTGGATGTGATTGGCGTCAGCTTCCATGTCGGCAGTGGCTGCACTGATCCCGAGACCTACACCCAGGCTATCGCTGATGCCCGCTGTGTTTTCGATATTGGGGTAAGTTTCTGAGTGAATTCATATCTGCGATTGCAGAGTTGCATAAAGGTTTTCACAGAATAATAAACCTGACTCTAAAAATTGTGAACTAGGATGAGCTGGGCTTCAACATGGATCTCCTGGACATTGGAGGTGGTTTTCCTGGTTCAGAGGACACTGAACTCAAATTTGAAGAGGTACCCAGCATTTTTTTTTTTTTTTTTTTTAAATGTGTTCCAAACACTAATTATTTGAATTTGTGTTTGTTTTAATAGCACAAGGCTAGTGAGTTTTTATCAGATGGACTGATATTAACCTGTTGGTTACTTTTTTCTTGCTAGATCACAGCAGTGATTACTCCGGCCCTGGACAAGTATTTTCCTGCAGACACTGGTATCAAGATCATTGCTGAGCCCGGGCGCTATTACGTTGCCTCCGCCTACACACTAGTTGTGAACATCATCGCCAAGAAGGTCATCATGGATGACGAGTCTGCCTCTGATGGTAATGATCTTCATTGGAAAAGGAGTGTCATTTTGAAATGAGGTTTATTTTAAGAATAGCTTGTAACAAAACGTGTGCTTCCTTCACAGAGGAGGACGAAGGGACCAGTGACAGGACTCTGATGTACTATGTCAATGATGGAGTGTATGGATCCTTCAACTGTATTCTCTATGACCACGCTCACTGCTTGCCAACACTACATAAGGTAAAGTTATGTTTTAAGAATGTAAATGGCATTAACGTCTGTCATAAAAGTTGGTGTGAGAAAGGCGAAACCAATGGCGGAGACTTTAACAGTATGAGTTTTTAATCCGTCTTAATCCTTACAGAAGCCAAAGCCGGATGAGGCCATGTATCCCTGCAGTATCTGGGGCCCAACATGCGATGGCCTGGATCGCATTGTTGAACAGTGCAGCCTGCCTGACATGCAGGTGGGTGACTGGCTGGTCTTCGAGAACATGGGTGCTTACACCGTGGCCGCCTCCTCCACCTTCAACGGCTTCCAAAGACCTGACATCCACTACGTCATGTCCCGCACTGCTTGGTAAGTGAAGATCACGGACACCGAAAGTAGTTAAAGCTACTTTTGACAAAGTAAAGAGAGCGGTACAATATAAAGGTTTCAGTATACTAGTCAAATACCCCCCTTGAAACAGGAATATCTTTCTCCTCCTCATCCCCCAACAATACCAAACAACCTTTTTCCCCAATCTTTGAGCAACTAGCTTTAGCTTTTGCTCTTGCTTTTAGCCTTTTGAGGGCAGGTAGATTTGAAGAATCTAGAAAGGCCGCCAAGCCGTCCAATGGTAGACAATCTAACTTTTTGTTTTTGTTATCTACAGGCAACAAGTACAGCAGATCTGTTCCCAAGGCATACCAGCTCCTGCGGAGGAGTCCAGCTTGTTTGAAGTGCCCGCCTGCTGTGGCAGAGAGAGCAGCTTGGAGATGCCTACGAAGCCCTTCCAGGCTCATGTGGTTTAAATGAGTACTGTACATCACACGACAGTTATCAACATCTTGCATCTTTTTGTTATCAGTTACTGGAGAAGTTTCCTTTTTTATTCTATTTTTTTTCTTCTCCCCATATGTAAACCGTGACATTTCAAGGCCAGTTACTTGACAGGAGAATGAGAGGGGCATGTTGTTGCACACATTTCTGTGTTCTGTATGGAAGCTTTGGATCAACCCTCAAAGTGATGAGGCTGGATCACACTCTTTAGTGTTCTAGGCGGAGGGTTACAGGGCGACTCTGTACTTGAACGTTTTACTGAAGTCTCTTTTTGGAGTCCGACTGTAAGACCTAGAGTACTGTAGTTTATGAAAATCACATGTTCTGAAACAGGAACTGTTTCTTTGTATAAATAAAATAAAATCACAACTACTTTGCTGAAGGATTCCATCACCATAAGACTCACAACACTTGAAACTGTAGCAATAGTCCAAGTGGTGAAGGGTTCGTCATGCTAATCATTTAATACTATTGAGCACAATAGTAGAAAATTCTTACTGTGAGGGTGATTTAACAGTAAACTCCTCTACAGCCCTGTTAACAGCAGAAGTGGTTGGTAACTGCAAAGAGGTGGTCGAGGGTTGATTTTATTCCTCAAAAAATGGCTGCTATGTTTTATTTATATTTTCCAAGATCTCAGCTTCTGTACAGAACCCCTCAAGTGTTAATCTTAAAGATGTTAAGGAGAAAAATATTTATTCTTTCTACTGATATTAACCAATGTACTATTGAGTGTTTTATTTTGTAAATGCCTGTCTACTGGGTATTCACAGAACCAATGCAACATTTTAGGATGTATTAGTACAAACAGAAACTTGTCAAAATGCATGCATGCATAGTGTAACTCTGTATTAATGTGGCTGCAGCATTTGAGTCAACTTTAAGCAAATGTACATGTTGTTCATAGTAAGCATGTGTATCTTTCTTAATGAGACACCACAGCTGCTCCGATAACTGAATCTTCAAGATTAACACTTTATAAAAAAAAAAAAAACAGGGACTCAAGAAGCAGACTGCACCTCTCCTCTTCTCCTCCTTATTTTATTTTGTCTTTATTTTTTTGTAACTTGTAGAAGGCAAGAAGTCTGTTCGTGATAAGGAGCAGTGTTTAACCACATGTTTGAAATGGATACGGAAGAGACGGGATTGCAACGTCATAACGCTTTCCTATGGAAACTTTTTGAAGTTTTGTATTTTTTTAATAAATAAAACATTAGGTGCAGAGCCGAATTATTGCTGTTGTGTTTTTTTTTACATGGGACAGAATTTCAAGAAGATGCTCTGTAAGCACGATGTGCCACAGTAGGAACTGGTTTAAACATTTCTGCCTGAACTGTTACAGTGTGACTCGAGTTCTGTGTTACACAAACACAGTTGAACATTGGTGTAAAATTTTTTTAAAAATCAACACGACGTAGAATTAAAATTCTACAAAGTTGATTATTTTATTGAAAAAGCTTCCTGACATTTATAGATTATTAAAAACATTCAAACATACATAAGCAAACACCGTCCATTTCATTTCATAATACAGGAAATATTAAAAGTAACATTACAGAAGTTACAGTTAAACGGATCTGACTCAGTTAAAACTGGTTTACAGCACATTAAAAACAGACAGACAGAAAAACACAACCAACCATCTGGCTTTAAAGCAACACAATCAGAGGTGGGGGACATGAGATTGTCCACTCATCAGGCGCTGTTCATATGCCTGCTTGAAGTGCCTAACATCATCCTGACCCAAAACAGAAGGATTGTTGAAAGGTTCCCTTTCATTTTTTTGAACCTAAACATCCCCCATAACTAAAGAAAACATTTGACAGTGTCCTTTATTATGAAGCATAAGACAAATAATATACCATTATCAAATACAAAAGAAAAGAAAAATCAGAAAGTTAAAAGCAGCAAAAAACAAAACAACCTGTGCTTTCATGATCTGTTTAGTCTGAGTGTCTGACACAACCTGAAGGCTATTCGGTTAGAAATGTAAAACTGATAAGCTTGTTTACGACTGCCAACACGCACAAAGATCAATATTTACAGAGCAAAAGTAAAGGAGGTAAAAGGTGTCATACAAACACATACTGTATGTTCAACCTGTATACGTTTTGTCCCATTAATTAATTGTTTTCATATTTTGATAAGGGAGAAACATAAGTTAAGAGTCTCATGATACAGCAGCAGATTTTAAGTAAATTGTATTTTATGGTCAGACAGAAGCAATACTCTGCACAAACAGTATTTAGTGACACTCACTAGTAAACCTGTAGTAACCTGTAGGTTAGATGAGACTTCATCCATCTGCCACACATCAAGAATGATGCTGGTAAATTTAGCTTAGCATAGCATAGCTTAGCTTAGCATGAAGACAGAAACAAATGTACAATGGTAACAGAATCTGCCTGCTCGTAGCAAAGCTGAGTTATCTACACACACAATAATTCAATTCAATTTAAAAACACAATTTTACATATGTATAAAAGAAAATATTAGAAATCTGTTTTTTTTTTCCATTTAAAATTTCAGAATTGAGATGCAGTGTTGAGAATAAAGTTGAAATGTCAAGAATATTACCTTAATGAAAAAAAGCACAAAGGTCAACAATGAAGTCAGATTGTTGAGAATGAGGGAGGATTGTCTAGACAGAGGTAGAGAAAAAAATAGTGGGAATAGAGTTGAATGTTGTTAATAAAGATGAAATATTGAGCCAAAATGTTGAGAATGAATTCAAACGTGGAGAATGAGATGAAACATGAAGAGCTGAAAGTTTTAACAATAAAGTCAAAATGACATGGATAAATCCGATGTTGAGAATACAGTTAAATGTTGAAGAAATAAAAAGTAAAAACTGACGAAAACAGAGATGAAAAACTCCAAACTTCTCTCCTGTCTAGCTCGTATACTTCCATATTCTCCACATTTCAATGATTTGTATTTCAATTTGAAATGTTTTGCCATTAATTCAGCTGTGTGCATGTGAGATTATGATTTCACCACAGCGATGCCTCTCTGCTCATAATGCTTCCGGATGTACTCGGTTATGGCCTTCTCATTATTTATCTCTTTTCTGAACACCATGATGTAACACTTTGGGGCCAAGTGAAGGAAGAGGATGCTGTAGCTAAAAACGAGAATGGCTGCACTCTCTATGGCTCTTTTGTACTTCCCAAATTTGCTGATATAAATGGGGCTGAAGAGGATCCAAACGATCAGAAACAGCATCATACTCATGGAGATAAGACTTGCATTTTTGTACAAATCGGGCAACTTTTTGCCTTTGAATGCGAACAAAAAACAAATGAGGGCCAGGAAAGAGTTGTAGCACAACATGGCTATGAAGAACAATTTGGAGCCTTTGGTACACTGCTTCAGGATGGTATTCACCAATATTGTTTCACCTGTACTGGGAGGGTAGTAGTATAACCATAGCACACACAGTGCCAACTGGACCCCAGGGACAACGATCACGATCAATGCTGGCTGATTAAGCTTTTTCATCCAGGAGCTTTTGCTCCAATCAAAGTTGAAGCCGAGTAAGATTTGGAGCAGGTTGGCCAGGATGCAGGAGATGCAGAGGGAGCAGGAAATGCCAAACAAAGGCAGACCTAACCTGCAGGAGGCTTTAGTGGGTTCTACTATGAAGCTAAAAGTCAGGCAGAAGCAGGCCAGCAAGGAGAGAAGCTCCAAGAAACACAAGTAACCGCCAACAGCCTTCACAATGGGAGTTCTACGATAGATAGTAAACAGAACAGCAAACACAACGATGACGAGGATCCCGAAGACTGCCAAGCAACTCAGAATGATGATGAAGGCATTGGAATCTCATTGAAATGAGATTGTTCACTCATCAGGCGCTGTTCATATGCCTGCTTGAAGTGCCTAACATCATCCTGACCCAAAACAGAAGGATTGTTGAAAGGTTCCCTTTCATTTTTTTGAACCTAAACATCCCCCATAACTAAAGAAAACATTTGACAGTGTCCTTTATTATGAAGCATAAGACAAATAATATACCATTATCAAATACAAAAGAAAAGAAAAATCAGAAAGTTAAAAGCAGCAAAAAACAAAACAACCTGTGCTTTCATGATCTGTTTAGTCTGAGTGTCTGACACAACCTGAAGGCTATTCGGTTAGAAATGTAAAACTGATAAGCTTGTTTACGACTGCCAACACGCACAAAGATCAATATTTACAGAGCAAAAGTAAAGGAGGTAAAAGGTGTCATACAAACACATACTGTATGTTCAACCTGTATACGTTTTGTCCCATTAATTAATTGTTTTCATATTTTGATAAGGGAGAAACATAAGTTAAGAGTCTCATGATACAGCAGCAGATTTTAAGTAAATTGTATTTTATGGTCAGACAGAAGCAATACTCTGCACAAACAGTATTTAGTGACACTCACTAGTAAACCTGTAGTAACCTGTAGGTTAGATGAGACTTCATCCATCTGCCACACATCAAGAATGATGCTGGTAAATTTAGCTTAGCATAGCATAGCTTAGCTTAGCATGAAGACAGAAAAAAATGTACAATGGTAACAGAATCTGCCTGCTCGTAGCAAAGCTGAGTTATCTACACAATAATTCAATTCAATGTAAAAACACAATTTTACATATGTATAGAAGAAAATATTAGAAATCTGTTTTTTTTTTCCATTTAAAATTTCAGAATTGAGATGCAGTGTTGAGAATAAAGTTGAAATGTCAAGAATATTACCTTAATGAAAAAAAGCACAAAGGTCAACAATGAAGTCAGATTGTTGAGAATGAGGGAGGATTGTCTAGACAGAGGTAGAGAAAAAAATAGTGGGAATAGAGTTGAATGTTGTTAATAAAGATGAAATATTGAGCCAAAATGTTGAGAATGAATTCAAACGTGGAGAATGAGATGAAACATGAAGAGCTGAAAGTTTTAACAATAAAGTCAAAATGACATGGATAAATCCGATGTTGAGAATACAGTTAAATGTTGAAGAAATAAAAAGTAAAAACTGACGAAAACAGAGATGAAAAACTCCAAACTTCTCTCCTGTCTAGCTCGTATACTTCCATATTCTCCACATTTCAATGATTTGTATTTCAATTTGAAATGTTTTGCCATTAATTCAGCTGTGTGCATGTGAGATTATGATTTCACCACAGCGATGCCTCTCTGCTCATAATGCTTCCGGATGTACTCGGTTATGGCCTTCTCATTATTTATCTCTTTTCTGAACACCATGATGTAACACTTTGGGGCCAAGTGAAGGAAGAGGATGCTGTAGCTAAAAACGAGAATGGCTGCACTCTCTATGGCTCTTTTGTACTTCCCAAATTTGCTGATATAAATGGGGCTGAAGAGGATCCAAACGATCAGAAACAGCATCATACTCATGGAGATAAGACTTGCATTTTTGTACAAATCGGGCAACTTTTTGCCTTTGAATGCGAACAAAAAACAAATGAGGGCCAGGAAAGAGTTGTAGCACAACATGGCTATGAAGAACAATTTGGAGCCTTTGGTACACTGCTTCAGGATGGTATTCACCAATATTGTTTCACCTGTACTGGGAGGGTAGTAGTATAACCATAGCACACACAGTGCCAACTGGACCCCAGGGACAACGATCACGATCAATGCTGGCTGATTAAGCTTTTTCATCCAGGAGCTTTTGCTCCAATCAAAGTTGAAGCCGAGTAAGATTTGGAGCAGGTTGGCCAGGATGCAGGAGATGCAGAGGGAGCAGGAAATGCCAAACAAAGGCAGACCTAACCTGCAGGAGGCTTTAGTGGGTTCTACTATGAAGCTAAAAGTCAGGCAGAAGCAGGCCAGCAAGGAGAGAAGCTCCAAGAAACACAAGTAACCGCCAACAGCCTTCACAATGGGAGTTCTACGATAGATAGTAAACAGAACAGCAAACACAACGATGACGAGGATCCCGAAGACTGCCAAGCAACTCAGAATGATGATGAAGGCATTGGAATCTCATTGAAATGAGATTGTCCACTCATCAGGCGCTGTTCATATGCCTGCTTGAAGTGCCTAACATCATCCTGACCCAAAACAGAAGGATTGTTGAAAGGTTCCCTTTCATTTTTTTGAACCTAAACATCCCCCATAACTAAAGAAAACATTTGACAGTGTCCTTTATTATGAAGCATAAGACAAATAATATACCATTATCAAATACAAAAGAAAAGAAAAATCAGAAAGTTAAAAGCAGCAAAAAACAAAACAAC